GATTATTTCTTATTATTTCCTATCCGTATATGCAAAGCCCCCTCCACTCCCTACAAAAATATTGATTATTAAATATGTTTGATAGGAATATGAAAATAACTCTCTAACTCTGTATAACTTTGAACAAGTTTTACTGCAGTGTGATTAGTTTAAGACCTGCCTCCAAAAAGAACATAATGTATTACACCTAAATCATACTGGGTTTATGCCACAATGTCTCACAATAGGCCACAGTCACATTTTGGCAAGTTTTAATTCCCATCCATAAAACCAAAAAAACACTCCTGTTTTGCTGACTTGCAGAGAGTTTCTGGCTCTACAAGGTAAAAAGGTTTCTTGTATAAAAAGAGAGCAGTACTAATGGTAAAACCAATGACTGCATCAAATGCATGTATACAAATAGTGAATGTGAATTACAAACTAGACGGAGATGAACCAAACAGTTTCCACAGGGACACAGGGTAAGAAAGGGTATTTGATGTCTCAGGCTTCCATTTCTCTGTATAAATGACATTAACTTGCCTGTCATTTAGGGCAATATTCAGCACCAGGCCTTAAATTCCTGGACAAAGAGGCAACATTCCTCTTCGCAGAGAGTCAGAGAGAAAGAGAGAGACGGAGCCAATTGATTTGGATGAAGACTATCTGACTGCAAGTCACAACACTGGCCAAGAAACAAACAATCATATGCTGTACATAGATAAGAGAGATATCATGATTTATGGAGATAGGCGAGGGTGAATCAGAAATATAAGGTACAGTCAACACAATTTTTAAAAATCTTTATTTAGAACTTTTTGAACTATATAAACATATCAGTAAACAACACAAAAAACAGACAGACAAAATCAGAATTACCAGAACAAAAAACAAATGTCCATGAATGCCAAGATATACCATCTCCAGTGTCTGCAGCCACTGTAATGTACACTAAATGTCTATACAGCCTGAAAGTGACAGTCCTTACACAAATGCAATCCAGATGTGTTCAATGAGTGTGTTTTAGTAAAGGTGTCTTAAGCAGTTCAAATAAACTGTACACAGAGCCACTGTCAGAGGGTCACACAAATCACCTGTTAAACACCAAGTCTGCTTGCTTTTTGACATAATCAGTGAACTTGAAAACCAAATTTTTACAATTTTACAAAAACAGTCGCCAACACTATTTTACTTTTGAGTTTTTACTATTTTTACTGAGAGACAGACTTGGCTGTTTTTGCATCATGTATTGGAAAACAATGTTAACTCATCTCATGCTTTCATATTGTATACATCAATTAAACCTATCTTTATTTTACAGACAAAAAGTGAATCTGTAAAGAAAGCCAGTGTGAGAAATGACTCATATCACATAGGACTGTGCTCCAGACTCTCTGTTGTTACAGACCTCAAAATGAGGCGGCAGTGATGTTCTTTGTAACTGCACTCAGCAATGAAACAGGTCACAGTGCAGTTATATTTTGTTTTTTTTGTTTTGGGATCCAACGGACTGACAAACCAACCTACTCAAGCTGCTGGTCACTGCTGACAAATGTTCCACCACATACCACTAAATGAAAATTACCCATTTAACAGCAGTCATCCACTGCCCCACTACGCTTAAGAGTCAATGGCCTCATCAAATTTGCATCATCAACACAGCTGGAAGAGAGAAATGATGAGAGCCACTTTGGCTATTTTTTCCAATCCATCTTTCTCTGGCACACTTTTGAAGGGTCTTGCCGGTCCCACTCTGCCTCAATTATCTGGCTATGCCCAGCTGAGATACAATAATCCAAACTCTCATTCCCTGCAATTTCCACACTTGTGTCTGCACACTCACTTGCCTTGTGTTCACAATCACTTATGTAGGTGCTTCTTCCTCTACCTTGAGGATCAGAGACACCGGAGCACACACTGTGGGCTGAAACGAGGAGGGATTTACCCACTATAGCCCTGATACATTTTAAGGTAGAGCAGTTCATTTTGACATCTTTATCTCTTATATGACGAGTTTTGCAATATTTGTCAAGAAATGAAGGGAAAAGAAAAAGAAAAAAATGAGTCAGTGTGACCACTTTTCAGTAGTAGCACATTTACATCAGAATGTATTCAAGCAGATGCAGACTACATTTTGTTTTCTGAAATTATAATCCACTCCAGGAGTCACATTCAAAGTTATGTAGTTGCCTGTCTGATTGAAAAAGCGATACATTTAATATCTGGATCAAGATCAGCCACAAAAACTAACTAAACACTAACAATCTAAATAAATAAATAAAGTATTAATAAATAAAAAAACACAAATTAAATTTATTCCTTTCCATTCTTTTGATGCAGAGCACATATTCATTTCCTAACCACCAAACTAGAAACAATTAAACAGTCCACAACAGGGTTTCAACAGGGTCTTCATTAAGTAGGGGTAATAATTAAGATCTGATTTATCACGTACTGTACATTCTTACATTTGAGGATGAAACGCACTGCACACCACAAGCCATTAGAATGCAACTGTCAGTGTGTTTGAGTTCAGTAACACTAGTAGCGTTTCATTTTGTTTTCAGTTCAATACAGACGAAACAAACAGGTCACTGATCATATCCAAGAATAAACAGCTATGCAGATCTTTCTCATCAGTGTCCACCATCATTTAAGCCATTGTATATGCAAACAGGAAATATCATGTGCTGCGAAATGATCAGATTAGTATGGCTGCCTTCTAAAATTAATCATTTACAAATGAAGTTTAAGCTGTTGACAAGCTGAGCCTGGCAAATTCTGTTTTTTAAGGCCATTAGAGATAGTTGATATTTGTAAAAATGATCGATATATGGGCTGATATTTGATTTTTACAGAAGATATGGTTATTTCACAGTTGTGACATTTTATAGCTGAACAGACTTGTTTCAAGAGTTACCATAAGATAGTAACATAATAAGTAAAATGTATAAATAAAACCATTAACTTTAATTAGGCAAAGTATCTTGTTTGCAGTCATGTCCAAATTTGTTTATAATTTTTGTTGGAATTGGTACAAAACAGCAGCCCGCATTTCGACTTTGTTATGTTTCTAAAGGACAAAGCTGGTCACCAGACAACAAACAGCAATGACAAAGAGCTTTGGCTGTGACACACATTTCTCCTGACAGTCTCCAATTCTTTTCTGTTGCAAACAAAAAGCACCATGCTGATGCTGGTCTATTTTGGAAGTCACGGAGTGCAAGGCCCAGCCTAAAGGTGGCTGTCCACATGATGTCCACATCTTACTTTATGAAATCATACAGCACATAGCAATGCCTTCTCAATACAACACATGGCTGACATCAGTGTTTGAGATCAAACTCACTTCTAGCATACAGTCAGTATATAGTCAATGCAATGTGGTTTTAAAAAATCATGCATATGGTTCTACTGACCAATAACCGCTAAAGAATCTAAAGTTTCACTATGTATGTAGCGTGTTTTAGATATGATACAACAACCTGGTTTGTGAAAACATTTCATTATCCACAATTAGAAAATAAACAGTCAGTAACCAGCTTATTAGATATAACTGTATATAATATAATGTAATTCAGTAACAAAGTCCTGCGATACATCCTGTCTTTGACACTTTCGTGTTGACAGTGGTTCAGAAAGGAGATGATTCCACTCTACAGTCATTTAAGAGGTGGCAGTTAGTGGTGTTGTTGTGCTGGACTACGTTTTCTTAAAATGTGTCTGATATTTTGTCCAACTTAAATAAAACACCCCTGGTATAATTCTAAAAAAAAAAAAAAAGCAGTGATCATTTGAAACCTTTGTGTCATTAATGCATAATGAACAATGAACATCTCAGTTTGACTAGAGTTTCCTTGTCATTTGTTTTACTGAAGAGAGAACACACACCCTCCTCACTTCAATGATTAGGTATTCTAAAATTAATCCTCACAACTCTATAGTTCATGTGTGACAGCTCTGTTCTTGTTTCTTTGTCTTTTTGTTCAGTTTCCACTCAATGTGTGTCTTTCGTTTCACAGATAACTGACTACAACGAGGCTTTGTAGATGAACACAAAACATGCCTTCAGAAAACATAATGCTTGATTGTTGACTTTCTCTAGTAGCCCATCAGACAATAGATGTGCTTCGGATTAATGTCCTGTAGCATTTATAGCTAGGAAGCGATCCAGAAGCAGGGAATCTGAACTCTTGTTATCACAACCAAACCATCCACAAACTTGTTCAACTATAAAGACGATCATAGATAATCAGAAAAAAGACCAGTGAGCTGTGGAAAAGACAATCCATGTGTGTATATGAGGGCTGTCAGCAGGACTGAGCAATTGTCAAACTGTTTCTTGTCAAAAAAAAAACACACTACAGAATAAGTGATTGAGAGGATGTCTCACAATCCCATTAGACTACAATTCACTAGCAGCTCCACCTCTGATTGTGTTCACAAGAACCTCACTCAGACATATTAATTAATCTAAATCAAAACTTCCCCCCAACACGCCTCACAGCAAACCCTGATAAGAACATACTGTATTGTGTCTGGGAACACTTGCTGCACTGACAACACACCTTGATCAAAGCAGTCAAAACATGCCTGATTTATGCCTTATTAATGCATCTGACAGCAGGGTAAAACATGAATGACATTCACTGTATTACACCTCAAAGGCAATTAGCTCAATAAAATATTTACACATGTCTATGGCCTACGTCGTGCTTTGTTCCACATCTTTACTACAGCTCTCCGCTACAATTCCAGGTGGGAAGCTCATGTTTCAGGCACCAGATGGGAACAGCGCGCGCAAGCGTCACTCAGAGGAGGGAAAAGAATCACATGCAAGATTGGAAACTAAGACCATTTTCCTTCAGACTCCATTTATAAATAAACCCAAACACCATTTAAACAACATAGAAGTCAGTAAACAACTGATTTTGGTGTGCAGATATATGAGTCAAGCAGGAATAGAGAAAGACTACATATTAGAGGGATTGCTGCAATAGGTTTGAGGGAATGGATCCTACCTGATGCACTGAACTGACTGCTTCCAAGTGTGGTGGGCCTGTTTTTACCTCCACTTACAGGTGGAGAGAACATCTGAAAGGAAGAATATGGACATATCCCTACAATTAAGAGCAAATACTCTATTGTGTAAAAGAAAACATTCAGACGATCAGTTACAATTATCCTCAAAGTAAAATCATATTAGTCAACAATCATCAATTAGTCATGCTTTAAGCCTATGAAGTCCCCACACCTCTAAGCCCTCGGAGCTGAAAATAAGAGTGAAAAGCCATCCTACCGCACTAAAATCCAGCAGGTCACTTAATTCCTTGTCTGTTCCGAGAGCGGCAATCCGCTGCTGAGGATTCATCCTGGCGATCTAGAACCTGCAGAAGAGAGTGCACCAGGTCACATCTTTGCTGCTTTATTTAACGGGGGGGCGGGGGGGGACTAGAGCCACGGGAAATGACTGCCATGAGAGGTATTTGTTATGGATGCAGAATAAAGACCATCACTGTTAAGTAAAGTTGGCTCTGGCGTTGCATCACATAGAGACACTGACAGTGCTGCCACATACTAATTGATTAAATGGTGCAAAGATTTTGTTCGCACACATGTAGTTTTTCCCTGTACATTGCGTTGATTAAAAGGAGATAACGCCGTTGGTGGGAGCTCTGAATGGCTGGCACAGCTTGCCGGGACCTGCAGCATCGCATTATTGCAGTGTTTCTCTGTAAAAACACCGCATGCTGCTGGTGAGACATTTACATAACTCACTGACTAGGCTTTCACTGACGATGTAAATGTCAGTGATTTGTGTGGCAGATTTTCCAAACAAAACGACGGTTAATGTTAGCGGAGGCACCTAACGTCACTTAGGCTAGCTGGCTAACGCTAACTGCAGTTAGTTGTTCATATGGATTGAAATAGCTAGCAAGCTGCAACCAGCTGCAGCGGTTTTGTCCATGTAGACATTAGTACAGAGAAGACGGTGGCGTTCAAGCGACTGAAACATAAATTACATACTGCTTCAAGATAAGTAACACAGCCAAACAAATATTGCAAATGACAGTCTCAATCCCTTGCTCCAGAACACAAAACGCAATGATGGTCTTTCTCAACTCCCAACTTCTTTCACAGGTCCGAAAGCTTTTAGTAAACTCCCACTGATAATTTACCTTTTTTCCGACTAAAATCCCGACTAGGGTGATCTGGTGAAGGCTCGCTTTCTTGCAATACGCCTCAAAATAGCGAAATATGGGTTTAAAGACAATACCTGGGAAAATTTCCTCTATATATATCAGTTACGAGTTTCCCTTAGGCAGACATTTTTGCTTTGCAAACGCCTAAGCACCACGATGACATTGGTTATTGTATCCCTCCGCCGAGCGCAGTGACACGCTGGTCCCACACAGCGGGAGATGCTGTGAGAGTCAGCACACACACACACCGACACACCACCCGGTTATCTCTACTTTATTACTATGAACACTACATCTAGTTCATTTTAACGGACTGTATTGTCTCAGAAATCTTGACATTTGAATACTTGCAACACGGTGTTTTCATTTTAAATAAGCTATATTCAAAGCTTTCTATCAGTTGTTATATTTTTAAAACATTGTCCATAGTTTTTTTGTCTCACAAAGCTGTTGTGTGTCATACATTCCACGCAGCAGAGGGATGCAAGCACTGCAGAAGGACCTAAATTTAATCTAAAAACTTTGCCTACCTCTTTCAGTGCTTGCAATTAACTACTACGTGTGTTCAGAATAAAAAAATAAATCATTTTTATTTGGTTTTTCAAGCATTTGTTTTTTTTCCAGCTGTTTTCAACTGTTTACAGCAGTTGTATCGAGAGTGTTGGGCGATTTAGGCCTTCCTTTCTAATTAGTCCATTGGTTTACAGTATAACTTTCTTACATGCAATTAAATTTATGCTTTTATAGTTGGCATTTATTTTCAGCAATAGCTATTGAGTGTATTTACATTCTGCTGACTAAATGCAGGTCTGCCGGTCTTGTGCATAATATAAATAGGATACCATTTCACAAGAAACGATATATGCATGTACTGGACATGATTGTGAAATACGACCACAGCTGATCTTTATAATTTAGCTATACCACATACTATGTATACTTAATATTTTACTGCAGCCAAAATAATGCCTCATTATTTTCTCACTGTAATGTTTTACCTAATTTTTGGCAGAAGCAGCCATTTTTAGTTCAATAACTAATCTTACACAGAAAAGACATAATTCCACTTTATGATATTTTAAATTGACAAGCACAGAATTATATAAGCATCCACCTAGTTTGCTGCATTTTCTTTCAGAAATCTAGTGTCTCTGGCATTTTACATTTGTAGAACCACAAAACCTCCATATTACTGTCTCAGTCCAAAGGTGCAGTCCAGCGATTCTACTCTAACACACTTTTTTTGTCTAATTCAGTGAATGTCTCCTTAGGTCTACTCGCTGTCTGCTCTGGGTGTGCTGCAAAATACTGGCTCTGTAGAACAACGTGGCCCGGACCGAGTAACACAACACTACTCCAGCCAATCAGCAACAGGGGGCGTACGTGATTGTGCACAGGACAAGGGAAAGCAGAAAATGGGAGGAGGGGGGGGGGGGGGGCAGCTGGAGCGTAGATGTATAAGTTGGAGCAAGAGATGGTAAAGCTGCCGAAATTAACATGCTGAATTCCTCATAATCGCATTGTCAAGACGGAGAAATGGCCAAGAAACAGGCAAAGAGGAGAAGGTCAGCAGAACAAAAACTGAAAAAGAAGGGCTATGATCAGGCGAGGGGGAAGACCCGTGTCCTTATCGGTGAGGCTTTCCAACAGTGGAGAGACCTCCGAGAGTTGAAAGGCATGAAGGTGGAAGCAGACGTTGCTCTGCTTCTGCTTGGCAGGTGGGTGACAGAGCCAATGGGTCAGTGGGACTGAAGGGAGCCGTGTATTTGTTTGGCTGTTGAATTCTTTCTCCAGAATCGCGCATTTCTCCCTTTTATCAAGTGAGCTGACGTTTGTGAAAACCAGTCAAATCAGCGACCGCTTGGATCTTGTATGGATGTAGGGGATTCTGATGCTTGTCTATTCGTGGTGTAATGGTATGGGTGCTTGGAACGGCCAAAAAGGATGCAGAAAGACACAATTAATTTCACATTTGATAAACGACATTATATTGCACATTGTGTGAAATCCAAATTTTTGTACTGTACTGACTTTTATTTAAAAATAGAGCTCAAAATTAATATCATGAAATATTCATATCTGTCATAAGAAATCTTTCCCTCACAGGTTACCAAAAAGTTTCAATGAATTCATGTGCACGCTTACTGTACAAATGTTCCTGTGGTTTTATGGTACAGTTTTTCAGAAATCAAAATGGAAATTCAGTTTAATTTTACATTATAGCACGTTTATAATTTCACCTGTCAGAGCTGTCTTAAAAAATAAAGGTGACATGAAACATTAACAGATTCCTGCTGAAGATGACCCTGTACTATGTCCATGTCAAATTTTATGTGATTTTACTGTAAACATTTTGGGAAAAATTAAACTGTTCAGGATCTAGTATTTGCAAAAGCAAAATGAATAACTTTGTTATTTTCACACATTACCAAATCCTGCAAAAACAAAAAACAAAACAGAAGCAAAAAACAACAAATATGTAAGGTGTTCATATTAATAGAATAATGTAAATGAGATCAGATAGTATTACATTATGTAAAACAGTGGAATGCTATTTTTATCAAAGTAATACATAGCCTAGAACTTATATGAATATGGTATGCTAAACAATTGTATATGATATAACAAATAAATTTCATTTAAAACAGCAGGTACAAATTTAAATATTTTAAAATGTATACATCACAAAAATATGATATCTTAACTTTTAGGGCTACACTAAGTTACAAGAAAGAAATCATGTTCATATAAAATCAGAATAATTTTCATGCTTCTAGTCCTTTTTTATTTCATTCATATTTATTTTGTGAATCTATTTACTTTTTTAGTGCTTTTTAAACTTATTATTTTAATTTTGTTATACAGTAGTAGTTTCATTATAAAGTAGAGACTATAAGGAGTTGTTTGTCGTAAATTAGTGAAATAGAGCTACCTTAAATTTATGTGGACATTGAATTTTTTGTTGAGCTTATGCTTTTATTCTGAAGGGTTCAGACCAGAAAGTGTTATGGCTGTGTTAGGAAAGAATAAGGGACATTTTCCTCATGGTAAGAAAATGGTTGAAAACAACACAACCCTATAAAGCTATTGATGAAACATCAGCTCGTAGTGGCAAAAAAAATCTAAACCAGTCCATCGATCTGAAGGTCTGAGAGTGAGAGAGGAAATCAACTGCCAAAACAAGGATAATTAAAGCTGCAAGGATAAATGATCTTGCTTCACAAGGTGGAGAAAATATATGAAATGATGGACATGTTGCTTTGGAGTGTGGAACTTTTACATTCAAGCCCTTGCAAAATGAGTCCAGACAATGCAGATTAAACCAGTGCGGAAGAGGGGAGCAACCGTACAGACAGAGACGGAGTACGCTACAGCAACAAGGAGTATGGTGGGAAAACCTAGGAAACAAGTCCTGGTTGTTCCAAACTTCTTCCATTTAAGAATTATGGAGGCCGCTGAGCTCTTGAGTCTAGCAGTATTTTTGGTAACACCTATCATAATAAAGTATGAGACAAAGTATGATAAAACATTTATGCAATGGTTATGCAACTGAAATTCCTACAGTAAATAAGGACCAGGACCCATAGTAGGCCTATGTGCTGTGGCCTAGACTCAGACAACCCTTGGCCCAATTTAACCTCTGCGTACCACACCAGATCTCTCACCTTTGGATACATAATTACAACTTCAATCCTTTTTTTTTTTTTTTTTTTTAAACAATTATGAAAGGTACACAGGTTGTAAGTTTGCATCAACACACAAGAGTAACCACCACCCACCCCCTCCCCTATCCCTGTACAGCAGTGGCACTGAATCTCAAAGGTAAGCCTCTGTTTGATGCAAGCATATAAACATTACACACGATGAACATTAAACTTTATCATTACATCATTACAGTTTGGTGTAAACAGCAATACTTTTGATAAAATTTGCTCTGTGGAATACATGCAGTTATTTGTTAACTATGAACACTGTAGGCTAATTTAAAATTGCAGTGCTGTTAAATAATAATTGGTCACCTGTATGTCGAAACTTAATAAGGTCTTCAATTCAATGGACTCCACACATTATCCATAAGGGCCCACTACTCCGCAGGATGAGGAAGCCTCCTGCAATAACAGTATGATACAGTATGACTTTGTAGCTGTGTATCTATCTTTCTAAATCTCTTACATGTATTTGTGTGATAGTTTGGCAGCGTCATCTGTAGATTAAGCATGTTTGAAAACTAATTGCAGCATATTGTGATTTCTTAGTGTGTTGTATGTAGAATCACAGCAACATGTCATGGTGTATTTAAATATTTACCTTTTTTTGTTAAATGCTTTTCAAGTCCACAGTAAAACACAGTACTGTGCAGTTCTTCCACTGTGTTGGAACTACTTTTTCCTCTGAACTGGCGGGAAGCCAGACAAGAGGACTGCAGTAAAGTTGGGTTCATATTGGCTGCCACTGTGGCTTGGGGATACACACGAAGGAAAATATCAATGTCTTTTAAAAGTCTGCTACAAATTTTAACCATCACTACTTCCATCAACTGCCTCAGACTTTGGATTTGTTGCAATTTGGGTAATTGAATAATTGAAACAGCAATGCAGACAGGCTTAAAAGCACTAGTTAACTGCAGCAGATCATAAATATACTGTATAGGGCAGACAATGGACAGTTGTAACAAAATATTATCCTATAGGCTTGTAGTGATAATTATCATATACCGTAACAGATGGATCGATCAATAGATAAATAAAATCTCAAATGTTGTTATCTGTTATAATATTTGATGGAGATACTCTTCAGTTTTGTTACTGCTTGAGTGGTTTAGTTGAACTGGTTTCAAAACCTGGCCTACAGGCCAGAGAAAACAGTTTGGTGTCGGTGTTCAGGCTGCATGAAGCAAAGGAATGACTGACGAAGGAGCAAGCATCAAACTGAAACCGAAAAGAACATAAGGTTGATAAGAAGGCATGGGTGGTGAATGTTGAATGTGGCTGCAATCAGTGGCAAGTATCACTGACTGCAGCCACCTGGGTTTGACCGTGTGAGATGGGTTTGTTGTACTCAGCTAAGGCCAGAGCGAACATGTTAGTAATGACAATGAAAATTCATGCATGAACCTTATGAGAAACAAGTGGGGTGTTGGTGCATCACTTGGGGTTGCCCCACCTATCTTATCCAGATGTTTTATTGAGTGTGGCCTGTTACACCTACAGTAGCTTCAGTCAACTCAATCCCAGAACCACCAACACTTTTGGCACCAGATCTTCACTCATCAGCACACAATAGACTGAATATAAAAACTACACGTTAAGTGGATACAGACTACACACTTTGACTCTGGCTTTAACATTTTATCTGTCAGCCTATAGAAAACATCAGACTGCAGCCTGGCAGAAACATATCTATAAATGCTGCTATGTGTGAACACATTGTGAAGTTAGGAGTTGTTGGCAACATGTCATGGGATGTTCTGGTAATTATATTATTCCTGTTGACATATTTGGTGCAAGTGAGTTACATTAGATGACACTGTAGTTTAGTAAATTTTAGTTAAAAAAAACAAAACAAGGTAAGATGTCTCTTTAAAAATAGGGTTCTGTCTCATTATGAATACACACTGTTTACGATGTGTGTGATTGCAACTTGAATGTGTTAAGCTGAAGCTATAACAAATATAAAACCAACTTCAACGGAAAGACTGCTGTTAAAATTACACTTGATCCAATTACTGAATGTGGAAATAAGGTCATTGTTAAAAGGGTCATTATTAAAAATGTTTACTATGATGCTTATTACATATTAGTAACATAGCAAATAGCATGGTGTCCAAACAGTGTTAAGCTTGGCAGAGGCTGCTGACAGTTACACAGTTGCAGTGCTTACTTTGCTGAATGGTTGACAGGAGAGAGGTTTCCTGAAAGGAATTTTGTACCTGAATTAATTTAAGACAAATATACAGTATGTTTGTTAACTGTTAGAAAACAAGTCATTTCATAGCTCCCAATGTAAAAATCAGACATCCCATGTAACTATTCTGGACATAACTCTTCTGTACAGTAACCCCACTTATACAAAGTAGTTAAGTATTCTGAGACAGATTTTGCCTAAAACCAAGGAAATAAAGGGCCCAAGCAAAAAGCCAGTGGACACTCCAGCACCACAAACCATGTAGATTTTGGAGGAGATGTATCTTGGATTTCCATGATTTATAACTGAAGATAATGCCGTACAATATGTATCAACAATTAAAAAACACCACTGAACATATTGTACAAGGGATACCGCACTGCTCAAACACATGATGTGTTCATGTCCAGTTTATAGTGCAGCCCTGAAGACAGCCATTTTTTAATAGACAACAAAAATGTTAAACTTCTAAATCAAAACCAACCGATCATGCAAGAGGAGATTAAAGGATAATCTGTCACCTAATGTAAATTTTCTCATATTCATATTGAAACATGAATCTATGGGGGACGTCTCCGCCCTTTATTATTAATTCCAGACTGCCACCTGTTGGACAAACTGAGATCATCCAAACTTCTCCAGATGTTCTTCACCAAATGAAAATACCCACATAAATATATAAAGATAGTTTCAACATAGTTTTGTTGTTTATTTCCAACATTTCACAGATATTGGAAATGAAGAAATTAGTAAACCAAAGTCAAAACCCACAGTGAGAATTTATTGTAAATACGTTTTCACACCTGTATGGTAATTTTAGGAACATGAAGATATTGTCTAAGAAAGCGTGATCATATGACCTTTTTTCTGTCCTCTTAAAAATGTACTTAGCCTTTAACCCACACACTAAATCACCATTATGCAAACAGAGTAGCAGCCTGTACCTGTCAGAGGGGTCTCATCAATTTATTGTGAAATAATTTTGCAATTTTTTTTTGAAAAAAACAATTCTTCCTCCTGAAAGGTGTGTAGTTTTTTGGCAGGTCAATTGATGTGAAAACAATATTTTATAACAATGAAGGTAGCCTACAACACCTCTCAATATACAGTAACACAATGCAGTTCAACAGCATGACAAACTACAGCCTCCTAAATGACCATAAAGCTGAATCAACAAATAAACAGTTTCAACAAAAACTCAAAACTTAATTGCTTTCCTAAACATACTATTTCATTTTGAGCTTGAGTTTTAATTTTTCACCTCAAAAACAATAATTTGACAAGTAATGCTCAGCACAAGGTCTATAATGAAATTGTTTTAGGGCTTTTCGACATGGAGGACATCAGTTATTAAGAATGATGGCCTACTTGAATGAACATGCAAAATGGGAAACCAACTCCCTGTGATTCTGTATTTCACTTTCACAATTAAGAAATTAAGCCAGACCAACAGACTCAGTGATGGTTTTGCTTCTCTTTGTTCCTGTTTTCCAGTTTTGTGGTGATTTTGTATCTCTTACTAGTCATTTTTTGTCTGTTTTTACTAGTTTTGTGTTTCTTTGTGATTGGTTTGCTTCTCTTTTTAGTCAATTTGCATCTCTTTGTAGAAGTATTGCATCTATACTGCAATTGGTTTGTATCTCTTTGTGGTCATTTTGCATCTCCATTTTGTCATTTTGCATCAATTTTCATTTATCTTATTCCTCTTTATGGTCATTTTGTGACTCTTTGGAGTTATTTCTGTCGCTTTGTTGTTGCTTTGCTGGCCTTTGTTCTTGTTTTGCTTCTCTGCAGTTTTGTGGTACCTTGCTAGTTGTTTTTAGTTGACTTTGGGTCTGAGTCTTTTTTAATCTATTTTTTATTGTTTTGTTTTTTGTCTTTTCGTGGTTGTTCTGCATCTCTTTTAGTTGTTTTGAGTCTCATTGTCTTGCATCACTTGTAGATGCTTTGCATATCTTTGGGGTCATTTTGTGTGTCTTGGTGGTCATTTGATTGATTTGAAATGTTAACAGTCACTTCAGATGGAGGCTCTGGGTCTGTGCCCATAAGGCCTGTTCAGTAATCCATCAATGGATGTAGCAATATTCACTGTTAGTGTCTTTCCTCCTCGACTACACGCTAACTGCTTTAAAAAACAAAGTCCTGAAAACTACATTTCCCAGAATGCAAAATGGTAACATCACCATACGCTTGTGTTTACGCTTAGCGGTCACGTTCACCAATTGCTGGAGCAGACTATTGGTCAGTGTACTACAAACAACTCAGAAATGGTGGCAGTCTTCAGTCTATAATTCCTGGTTTCTTTTTCCACCAGTGTTTACTTTAGTAACGATGCCGGGGATGTGTTCTGTGCCGGGCTGTAAGGGCTACAAGAAGGCCAGGTCCCGGGGAGTCGTATTCCACTCTCTGCCTACAAGAGACCCAGAGCGCTGCAGAAAGTGGTTAAAGGCCATACACAACCCCAAATTTGACGAAAACACACCAGTAAGTAAATACGGCAACGTACGAGTCTGTAGCCAGCATTTTAAACCGGGAGATTACGAACCGGACATACAGGCAGAACTAATGAAAACAACGCCCCGAAAAATCCTCAAGTCCAACGTAATTCCGTCTGTTTTCTCTGGAAGACAGCAAGAGGACCTCAGCACCTTTCTGCCTGCAGGTGACAGGAGCCGGACAGAGGTAAATGTTTTCCTGTAAAAAGTTGCTTTTTAAAGGTAATGTTGGCTAGAAATCAAAATGTGTCTTGTATGAGCAATTTTGCCCCTTGAGAGAATGTTATTTCAGAAAATAGGAAAATAGAAAATAGTTGAAACTTGTGCATTAAACACTGAAATTTAGGGGAAAAAAATGGTATTACCTGTCTCATATTGGAAAATCCTGTGGACGGTTAATTTCACAAGTTCATGAGTGCTGTGCTGAGGCTGTAGTAAATCACGTTTTAGTCATTATGAGGTACATTCAGGGCCTTCGACAAAACGAAGCAAAATGTTTGTTTAGTGGACACTGGGGCACCGAGCGCGTTGTTGCGTTACGCATGCGCACTGGCCTTTTAATAACAGGTATATGCACATGTTGCTGCTGATTGGGTAACATCTCTGACACACCCACCAAACGAGCCTGTCCACTTCCACCTTACCGAAATTGGCTGCTCTTCTTCACCTAGAGGGCACTCCTGAGATAGTCCTCAATGATGCGAATGGAGCTAAAATAATTGTTCACTACGTTTCTAGACAAAAAGCCCAAATTTTATTTAAAATTTTGCAAATATATGGATTATATATCAGAATTGAATTAAAAAAATGTTAATGTCCTGACAAGGAAGGCGATTTTTCCCATAAAAGGCTAGCATTCTGCTGATGTATGCTGAGTGGTCGGTTAAGGATTTACAACTGATCGTAACAGGACATCCTGCATCAATGGCACTTGGAGTCTACAGCAGTTTTTTGATATGAAATCAAATGAACGTGGTTAGAACAGAACAAAAACTTGCCTGTGCTGTATCAGAAGCCATGTTCCAGCTGGTTCCAGCTGTGTTGTTGTCCACAGTGATTTTGATTAGACATGATTAGAAAGCAGTGGCACAACTTTAGAAGTTGGTTAAAATATTTATTATTGTGCAGCAAACACAATACTTCTTCATCCAGATGATTTTAAGAGTCTCGGAGGAGTCTTCAAGTACCGTCAGAGCAATGATAAGTATTTTTAAATGACATTGTGGGTTTTTCCAAAATCACCAGGGATTTATTTTTGTGAAAAAACAAACGTTTAACTCTGTGACTCGAATGTAATGGCCGTACATGAGAGGCACAAACTTGGGTTGCAAAAAGTATTTTGTTTACTGCACTGTACCAATGACGAGCCACTTTGGGCTCCAAAGTAAAAGTGGTGGAAACTGTCGGGTACAAAATGTCTATAAAAATTATCAAAACTGTTTTTTGTTTTTAATTAGTCGAACGCTCCCAGTACAACTGCTCAAGCCTCTACCTCAGTGGTTTCAGATCCCAGCGTGGACAGTGTGTTGCAATGGGCCTCTGTGTTAACATCAGTAAGTATGATGTAGTAAACCTATGTCATTGAAATTTGACGTTTTGTTTTCACAGGTTAATATGTGGTTAATTTGTGTTAGGAAATAGTTTTATAGATATAGCAGTAAATCAGAAGTCTACCTTTTTTTAATTTGTTCTACTGGCTTAACAATCACTGTTTTTACTCGAGGGTCCGACTACATCTTCCTTGAGTGTTCAAGGTACTGGTGTGGATACTGCATCACCTTCCCTGCTAATTCCTTTAAGTATAACACATGACATCGGCCCTTTTTCTGTGTAAATGAGTGTTACATGCAGTCAAAAGTACAGTATGTTGGTATTGTGAACCCTATTCAGATAATCTGCACACACATCTACTTTTAACTAATTTAGAATTATACATCTGTCTCGGTTAACCCAGATTTCCTCAGGAGCTTCAAGCACCTCATCCCTGTCCCCTCCACCAGCTCAAACCAGTGAGAGTTTGTGCAGTGTGGCTTCGGTTGATTGTCTGAATGAGAGCTTCCACCAAAGGACTGAATCCAGCTCGACCGCGGCATTAAAATCAGACAAGAACACAGAAAAAGACTTGAGTCAGTCAAAGACTATTGTGAATGACAGTTGTTTGATGGAGCTGTTCAAGAAGTGTCAGACATGTGGACAGACCATAACCAAAAAGAAGGTGTCTCACTGTGGTGCACAGAAGAAGGTGAGGTGGAGCTGCCTTGGTGGACACAGGGGCATATGGATGTCATCACCTCACCTTTGGGAGGCATTTCCTGAAATCCACCTTCTTACAGCTCTCGCCATTCTTTTTTCTGGAGGCACCTTTACATATTTTAAAAAATGGGCCAAACATCTGCACCTAAACTTCATGGGGAATAAAACCTTTTTTGAAATTCAAAAGGCATACCTCAACTCAGAAAGGAAACAGATGATCAGGACGGAGCAGGAAGGGATCTGTTCAAAGGGGCTCCATCAACAGCTGGAAGTGACTCCGCTTCCCATTTCAGGTGATGGTTGTTTTGTTTCTCCTTGGAAAGATTATGGAAAAATGCTTAAAAAACTAAATGAGAACTGCAAAACCTGAAGTTTTGTCCCATCCATCCTTCCACTCCAACATCCTCCTTATGGTATGGATCTGTTCTGTACATGAAACCCAGTAAAACACACACACACACACACACACACACACACATTTGTAAGTGCCTGCTGCTGGTCAGCTGAATGTCTTTGTTCAAGTGCAGCTTTTAACATGAGACAAGAAACAATGCAAAAGCTGTCTGTTTGGGTTGAGCTTGGTTCGCTGTGTCAGGGCCCTTTGGATCACTGTAGTCTAGTTTGTATTCATCACTTAACTCAAGTAAACACCTTATTTTGTGATTTAGTCTGAAAAACACCATTACATTAATGACTCAGAAATTGAAATCGTAGTGCATATTACTATATATAGAATAGTACATATTGCTAAACATTTTACTTGTAACAATTTTGTTTTTACTTTAAAGATCCTCTGAAGAAAATCAAGGCCAAGTCGAGGGGAACAGAGAAATTAACTCTATCATCATGGTCAAGGTGAGGCAGCAAGTACAGGTTATACTTGTCATTAATTGAAACTGATTTTAAACAATCAAATCTGTTCATTTTAATGGTAAGTACTAATCAGCATGTCTAACTGTTTTGTATAAGCATCAGTGCGAGCGACCCTTTTCACACAGTAACTTGATAACTTTGTATGTAAAAGAATTTGTTCACTAAAGCTTGAAATATCTCTTAAAGAGATACAGGAAGTTTAATGCGATAAAAATGGCGGAAAAGGGAAGTGGTTGAAAAATCAACTATGGCTTTATTGGAGGAACTTTTTAGTTGCGCTTGCTAATGGTCACCACTGAAGATATGCGACATTCACTAAATAATAAATTAACATATTGACCAGGATGGCACCCCGAACCTGCAGCATGGATGTCTGCTGTTTGACAAGTCACTCCTACAGAAACTTAATTGTATTTTCAAGAGGCTCAAATTGATCTTTCAAATCATTATGTGATATGTTTGGCAATAATTCAAAAAGGACTACTCTTACATTTGTATGAATATATACAGTATGTTATGCTTTTTATAGGCATTGTTTTTTTTCAATTTCATACCATGTATCCTCATCTTTCAGCACAAAATAAAGTGAAACATAAATAAAGACATTTAAAGTTTTTATTTACACGATGAAACAGTGTGCCTTGATTTCCGGGAAATCCCATACCTCCTATTTGTTGTCATATTTCTGAACTGTGATACCAGAGATGTGACTTATTTTTTATAACCATTAAGAACTAACTAATTTACCCTAAAAAGACCACAAAATTACTTCTAATTTATTATGTTTATTAAAGAAAACCCATAATAACAGATTTGTTGACTGAGTAAGAGCAGTGAACTTTAAAGTACACCAAGAAGTAAAAGATCTGAACAGGTGCAAAACTCTTTTTCTTTATTGGCTACTGACCAGAACAAACTATTTTTAAAGGCTCAATAGTGACTGACAGTTTCAATTACAAAAGTCATGTTGCTTCATTGTTGGCTCATGAGGTGGCTTACTGCACAAGCTTGTAATTTGCCAAGGCATAATTCTTCCAATTTTAGGTTTAAATAGTATAATATCTTTTATAATATGCTGTTCAAGAAATGATTAATGAAACTACTTTCCAGGTTGTGAGTGGTTTTAAACTCTAACTGAAGCACAGCAAACAACTACAGAAATGTTCTACAAATCATCACCATCTCCTGTAACCATAAGTAATATGCTTAACTATAAATAGTTTACTTACTTATGTCCAGATTCCTCAGTCTACTCCACAGGTTATAGAGCAGCTTTTAGGATTAGAGTCTATAGTAAGTGTGACAGAGATAGCTGTTAAAAAATAATAAATTTGTGCCTCATTTTGACTATAATACCTCCTTTGACCACTGACACATTCAGACAAAATCTACCAGGTAAACCTGAAACAGGTATATCTGTAACTCAGGTGTTTTGTCAAGCCAAGGGTACATTTTCATTTACATTTTCCAGATGAGGTTTTGTGTCTAATGATAAGTTTTCTTTTTACAGTTATGAAAAGATATCCTCAATATCAATGACTTCTACTGGGACTTGCCTACCTAACACACTGTCAAGTCTTGCACATGTGTCAGCCTCTGAAAGGTAAGCAGTCACAGTCACCAGTACATTTCAGTTGATGCCTGAGCCCCTCGACCACAACAGATAATTTGGGATTTTAACCCAAATTTTGTAGTGTTGAATGAAATTGTTGGGATACTTGCACATTTTTTATCATTAAAATTAAACATACAAAGTACTGTAGCTTTTTATTAGCAGGACTGGAAACATGGGTAAAAGAGATAGATGACATTATAAACTATTTGGCCAGAATTGAACCAGAAATATAGCAGTTACTTTGTGTCAGTGCAGACTGCTGTACAAACACAACAACCTTTGTATAGCCTTGTATTCACCGCATGGGTGTCACACAAGAGAATTAACGTCCACATGCTGTAACATTTGATTAGTCATAAAATGGATTTCACTATGTGTCTGCAGAGGAAAAACAAGTCAGCAAGATGATGTTGAACATCAGAGTGAAACTGCACCTAAGGCAACAGAGGTGGACAGGCTCCAGGGCAGGTTAGTAGTGATCTTTTTCAGAATGTACATTTCATTAGGTGTATACTGTATGTCTGTCAGTACTGTATTGACTTTTTATTCAATGTCCCCACTGTACTATGTCATTTTCAGTTTTGAGGAGATGGAGGTCACCATTGACGAGCATGAATGCACTAGTGTGAAGAACAGAATGTAATCTCTTACGATATTGTACAGCATTTATTATATCTTAATTTGTGCTTCTGTGTCTCATTTGAATCTATCATGACGTTTGTTTTTTTTATCTAACAGATCTGACTTAGATAATGATATGGAAAACGTCACAGAAACAACTGATCTCAGAGCTGCAGGAGCAGATGACAGCTGTGATGAAAGAGTCTACGTACCACTCATTCCTAATCAGAGGTACCTGTATGACTCTGATGAGGCTCATTTTCAAGAATGTTTGTTAGAAAATTTAAGTTATTTTTGAGTCATTTGAATTTATTATTATTCATTATTCATTTATTTAATTGAGACAGTATAGGTACATGTGTGCACATCCTTGCTAAAACCACAAATTCACAAATGGCATGCTGCACCTCTCGCTCGCTTTTTTCCTACATTGCTTATCTTTAACTTGAGGACTTGTACATTGGTTAAAAGAAGTATTATGTGAAAATGTTTAAGACTGATATCAGTCACGATTTGTCAGGTTTTTTTACGTTATGGACACACATTACTGTGGTTTTCTGTTTCAGGTCTGCAACATCAGAGCTTTTACTGGAATGTGAAGAGGAGGCGCTGGAGCCGTGGCAGGAACAAACTTCAAAAGTTCACTTGAAAGATGAGGATGACTTTGTGGAGTTGAGTATGTAACAGCATTTTCTATAAAGAACATGTTGACGTGTTTTTAGACATTCAACTTTTATACTCCACTAAAATGCAAATAACTCAATAGCTTGAGTCAAAAACATGTCAACATAAATGATTCAGAATGGCTTGCTATTTTTGGTTAAATATCAATATTAGTTAATAACAATATTGATATTTAAGTGATATAAAATAGAGATGTTTAGTAGATGGACTGAGTTAGACTACTACTATATCTGTGTGCTGTTGCACATATTCTCAACTAAAACGTTAATTTAACTTGCATCCAATTTTTGTCTTTTTGTATGTTGTTGCAGCTGATGACCAAACAGATTATAAACCTTCACCTCTTCAGAGAAATGCAGTGAATACTTCACCATCTAAGTTGAAAACAGAAACCCCAGAGCCTGTTGTCTGCAACAACCAAGTAATGTTATAAGAATTATTGTATGTATTCATTTGTAATAAATTAGTTGAACCACTTATAGCTTGTCATTTGATTTATAAAATGGTTGTTATGTGTATACTGGTTCTGAATGTTAGAAAATTGATTCTGTTTCTATTTCCCAGGGATTCATTGTGGCTTCACCACAATTAACAAGCAACACTGAGTTCATTGGCTCTGTCGGGACACAGTGTCTTCCCAGGAATTCATTTGCAATAGTTCCAGGTAAAAGTGAGAGTTGCTCTGAGGAGACTTTTTTGTAATTATTTTCAGCCTTTTAATGATGGTTTAATGGCTCTTATATTTTTGTGATAATGTAATTTTTTTCATCTTTAGTCTACCCTAAGAGTTTGTGTGTTGTTTTTTTTAGCTGGTCACCAGCAACTTCTCCAGAAAGTGTCTACAGCCACAGTAACACCTGAGGCCTATGGTGGTGTCCAATCTTCTGAGATGCAACAAATCAGCGACAACCCTGTGTCCTTGTCCAGTGTCCAGGGTCCTGCATTATATACAACACTGTCTAACCAGCTGCAGTCAGACCAGTCTGACTCACAGGCCCTCTCTGTATCTGTTTCCCTGCCTTGCTTTACCATACTTGAATTTGAATCAACTGGCACATCAAACAACCAAGAAATATAAAATTTAAGTGTAGAAAGAGAACAGAAACAGTTACAATGGATACATTCAGGAAGTTGGCTCACTTAAATTTTTCATATCAGTTGCACAAATAAAGAAGATGCAAGTTATCTGCATATTTATGCATCTGTGCACGCCACTGAATCTGTTGGCTCTTCTAACATGGCTGCAGTCTGGGGAGCCCTGCACACAACACCTGTTACCTCCTTTTTCCAAGTCCAAATGAAAAGAAATTGTTGGCAGCATGTCAGTTACATTCCACTTCACTTGTAAAGGTTTTATTATTATATTATGTTCAGTAAAATAAAGTCATTTGTCAAAACCCATTCTCAAGTGCTTCATTGCTGTATTATTGAAATGCATGGTATTGGATCATAGCTTTTCTATAATACATTTAGATTTACTGTGATCAAGGTCTCACTGTGCAGCATGTTGAGTTTGCTACCACAAGTTGGACTAAATCTGTTGTTCCCAAACTCTCATGTCCTCCTTTGGAAGCCCCCATTCCCATTCAAACTGATTGCATTTTCATCAACCAGCACCAATACTGAAACTGAAAACTAGTGAAAGAATGAGCTAAGTTGAATAAAAAAGTGGTGGGAAAACATTTGTAAAGCCTGCAAATGAAGCAAGTGTCTGGAAGCTACATTTAAAGGGGCAAAGTGTATCAATGTTTCACTGCTAGCAAATAACTCACATTAATGAGCCCTTTATGTTTACGAATCATTTGAAAATAGCATTTTCATATTTCAAAGCTGTTTTTGTATTTGAAATGTAGGTTCTCCCAAATTATGACAAAATCTTTTTGGCTGTAGTGATATCAGGCATTTCAGATATTCTTTGTTTAATTTGTCCAAATCTTGACATATCTGTCTCTGAGATTTCTGCCTTCACTCCAGTACCATAAGGTGAGTACAACTTTGTGGTGACCATTCAAAAAAACACAACAGCAGCATCTCTTTCTAGAAACAGAGTCCCTATTTTTTTTTATTTGTAACTTGGTTTGCAATGCTAAATATTTAAAGTAGTCTACATGCCAGTAGAATTGACCAAAACTTTTTCTGCATCCCCATTAATTTTCTCTAAAAAGTAGACAACACCTCACTCAAACCAAAGAAAACTTTTGTAAAATGAATGTTTACTTTTGTAAATTATGCAAATGGGTTAAAACCACTTAATGTGACCTGGGTGCGGTCAGAAGCAGAGCAGGTGAACTTAGGTTATTCTGTAGCCAGTACAGCAGCCATAGAGCCACAGAAGGGATCACAGATCTATTTTAACCCTCACAACCATAACTACTGATTACAAACATGTTAGAAGACCATTGTAGTTCAAGTTTTTGCATTGACTTTTCACAGGTGAAATTGATAAAGTAAATGTGACAATCAGGATCACTCTTCTAAATACTGTCACACTGTTTTCAAAGTTGTAACTCCAACTCTAACTCACTGAAACCTTCTATACTAAACTACAATCTACAGTCTTGTTTGACCCAGTATTTACACCTGCCAGTAATGATCAGGTATGAAAAATATGACTTAATTGCTGAAAATTACATAGACTGTATAGACCATGTTAGCTTTTACTTCAGATTGGGAACTGAATTGTAGGGCTGTACTTTGTCAGACCTGTAGCACCTGCCAGAGGGCAACAATCACTACCTGTTTGAACTGTCGCCCACTGTTGCATATAGTTGAGCTGAAGAAAAAACAGAGTCCAGCAAGTGCTTGAAATAAAATAGGATATGATAAACAGAAAGGGGGTTGTAGCATGGATGCATGTGGTCAAATAACACACCCATGGCCCACACTCCAGCACAGTAGGTGGCAGTAATGCACCTTAGACACTAGTTGCTGTCCACTATTCAACAAAAAGAAAGAAGAAGACCAAGACGAGGACTATGAAGACGAAGAAGAAGAAGAAGAAGAAGAAGAAGAAGAAGAAGAAGAAGAAGAAGAAGAAGAAGAAGAAGAAGAAGAAGAAGAAGAAGAAGAAGAAGAAGAAGAAGAAGAAAAAGAAGAAGAAGAAGAAGAAGAAGAGGAGGAAAAGATGCGGCTGGTAGCCTGATTGGTGCAGACAGTCTGAGTGTTTCCGCCGCCTTGGGCTAGCAGATGTACTTTCCACCCCCCTCTCTCTCCCTGTGTGAAATAGTCCCGCACTATCTAAACTACATCGTCCTCGGTCCAAGGACTTTGCTGAAGTTAAGTTATCTAGACACGGTTCTGAGGGTGGGTGTGAGAGAGGCAGGCAGAAACTCAGAGCCTGCACACCACACTCTGAGTGCAGTCTTTGTCCCAACATCCACCTCTCAGGTAAGACCAACGTGCAATCGGAGCCTCGCTAATGTTATGGAGCGGTGATCGATAACTGATAACTGTTGGGACGTAACGACACGGTGCATTGGAGATGAAATGTGTTGGAAGTCTTAAAGATCCGCTTTTGTGCTTAGTGCCTTGATCCCGACACTAGCTGTAGCAGTTGAACCACAAACGTAAGCTAGTTAGCATTAGCTATCTTGCTGTTGAAAGGGACCCAGAAGCTAATAACAGAGAACACAGCGCCGAGCTAACACATGCTAATGTTAGCTAGTTATGTGCTAGATCTGGAGACGGTTGCTAACAGTTTTCTTTTCATTGAAGTAATTCAGTGTTTAATGAATTTAGCATTTGGTTTTGAAGGGAAAATATTTGCGCACACTGAGGCTGGGTCAAAACTAAAAGAGCAATCTTTACACTCTCAAATCATTTCACCAAACTATACTGCTAGAAAACAGCTTGGGCCCTAGTTTATTCCTTGTCACCCAATAGCAAACAACGATGGCTAAAAATATATTTTTTGCCTTTCTATAGTGCTTAAAATAGAAATGTGTCTTTATCTGAGAAAAGGATTTGCACCTGCATCAGCAATCTCCAATGGCAACCAATACTGTCGCCATCTTGGAAGATAATTAAAAAGCTTTGTTCCAGTAATAATAGTTATCATTTCTGTTCAAGTCAGAATAACCACCATATACACTGTGGTGTCTGACACATTTATCGTTTCCTCAAACCATTTGCATACATTGTTGTAATGGTTACATGTGCACTGGTTGGCTGTTGCAAAAAGGAAACTCATTTATTTTAAGCTGTTCTAATACTTTTTAAGTGACTATAATCAGTATTTTGATATTAACATTGGCTCAGATGGCTAGGTGTTGTTTACAGTTTCCCCTCAGCTGTACATAGCATTTTATTGTCTTTTGACTTATTGTTTTGGTTTTAATATTCTGCTTTCACCTCTCACCAAAGTTCGCTTTAGCCAAAGCAAGCAGCTGTTTTGAGAGAGAAAGCTCTGATAAAGCAACTCAGCACCACATACCCAACATCAAATTGCAGACAGACAAACTGGCCTTTAAATTTGAGTTTTTTGCAGCTTATTAGGCAGAGACACACCTCCAGCTGAATGGAAGTGTTGCTCTGTGTCTGCTTGATGTTTAAATAGGCAACTGTTTGCATTATGCAACATTATAAGGTGATATTCTGTCAGTGTTGTGTTTATAGCTTGATGTTGACTCCAAGTGGTTAAAAATAAAGTAATGCAGGTCTAAAGGTCCACTAATATGTGTTTTATTAACAATGGAACAAATGAGTGCATGTACTGTGAGAGTTGTTGCTGAAGTGCTTCAAAGGGCTTTTTTAGTGTTTTTCAGCCAATTTTTAGGTGTCACCATGGATAAATTCCACTCTTATTATCCTTGTTTCCAGCAGCGACTGGCAGCTAAATTCAGTGCTGACCAAAACAGAGGACTTACTTTCATCAGGTCAGAAACAAGGCTCCAAATGAATGCTAATATTACTCTTTTTCTGGCTATTTTTGGCTAACATGCCAAAACAACTTATGAAGTGCACAGTATTGCAGAGGTTTGGGTTTTTAGCTTGAAGCCCTCTAGTTTGTTTAACCAGTCATAGAGTGGTAAATATTATTTCATTTCATTTTGCTGTTACAGAGGAAACAGCAAAATTTGTGTCAAAGTCTTTATACAAAGGTTGTAGAAGTGTTGTTGTAATGGTTTAAGCAGTTCATTTTTCATATATCTCTTCAAAAATGTCTAGCCACTGTCCTAGAGTAGGAGGATCCTCTTTGCACTATTTCCTCATGATTAATCTCTTGGTCATCGCTAATAGAACTTTAACAAGACACCAGTTTTCTCCGTTTGTACTTTTCAGACTGGTTTTGGGGGTTCACCATGTTGTAACACTATATTTGTGATTTTCTCTGCTGCCTGCTGCTGAAACATGATTCTGTCTGGTCCATTTTTGTGCTAAGGAAGTCAAGATGAGCCTGCTTCTCAGAAATATGTGTTTTCTGTAGAAGAAACACATAACATGAGGCAACAGATACATTTAATAGGTTAAATTGGAAATACTGGATGGTTTTTGGGTCTGTTAAACATGGGCAGTAACTCTGATAGGCTGACTGGTAGAAGCGCAATAGCGCAGCAAAATTAAAGTTACAAACAACCTGTAATATAACACTCTCTCAAGTAAGAGGCTCACCTAAAAATAAGTGTTCACTCCATTCAAAGAGACCATCTGCTGCTCTGTAGAAAAAAATGCAGATTGTGGTTCAGCACAGCCAGTGGTTGAGTAACATCCATATTGGAACAGACTGAGAAGATTGTATATGGTCGGTCAGCATACACAATATCAGGACACTAAAATCAAAGCAGCAAAATTTAAGTCAGCCATCATTTTTTTTCTACACTTTCTACACTTCTACACTGCTTTTCCTACTGTGACGTGTCAAAATGTCTTAGTTGTAAAAGATCTATTACTGTATGTTTTATAAATTTCCCTTCTCAAATGATCTCCCACACTTATTTTTACATTTGATCTCCTTGCCATCTGTTGAGACTACACTGGGTCTACATTGTTAAGACTGAAAATGTTGAGGATGATTGAATGTCTTCAAAAACGTGGCATTTCCTGCTGATAAGTGTATCAAAAATATTTCATTATCATATTTCTTAAAGAGTTTATGAAATAGCTTGAAATAGCTTGACTTTTCGTTTTAGCTTTTTTCAGAATTAATTTTGATATGAATAAGTTGGACTTACCTTCTGGTCATGGCTTTGTAATATTACTATTTAAAATATTTTAAAAATGCTTCAGGATTGGCTAGCTGTTGTGTTTTTTGTGTTGCAGCTCCACAATGTCTGAACTTTTTATGGAGTGTGTTGAGGAGGAGCTGGAGCCGTGGCAGAAACAAGTTCCTGAAGTTCACTTGATAGAGGATGATGATGATGAACCTATCTTCGTTGGAGTGCTCTGTATGTCATAGCACATTTTTAAATATATTAATGTTAAGCATTTAAATCATAATATGAAAATTACAGTTGTTTTAAAATTAATCTTTTTTGCCGGCTTGTTGCACATAATCTCTCCTTAGAGTTTGCTTTAATTTATTTACTTTCAAGAGCAAAATGTCCCGTTGAAGTGCTTATTTAGTTCCTCTTGTATGTTCTTACAGCTAATAACCCAAAGGATGGTAAGCCTAACCCTCCACCTCCTCAGAGGAACAGTGCAGGGAAACAAGAAATAAAGCGTCCTGCTCCTCAGCCTGCCGTTGGCCCTGCACCAATAATGCTGCCACTGAATGTGGTTGGAAATGCTGTGAATACTGCAGCACCCAGTCTGACAACAGTGACTCCGCAGCCTGTTATTGTCAATAACCAGGTATTGTTGACTTAACTTCTCAAATAATTTGAAAATAGAACAACTATCTGGTTATTGTGATTTTGTTTTGAATGGAGTAAACAGCTTTTTAAATTAGTGTGGTTAATACACAAAGTTATGGTTTCAAACTTTTTTCCAGGGCTTTATTGTCACTTCTCCGCAAATAACAAACAACAGTGAGTTTATTGCCTCTCTTGGGACACATTACCCCCCTGGGACATCATTTACAATTGTACCAGGTAAAGCTAAGTATAATATATTTCTGATGATCTTCTTTCCCCTCTAATGAGTGATTTTGTGATGTAATAGAAAAGCTTCATCAAAAGCTTTTATAGTTTCAATGTGGCAATGCCAAAATTGTCTTAAGGATTTAAGGATTTGTATCCTCTGTTTTTCAGCTGGTCAGCAGCAGCTTTTTCAGCAGGTCAGTCCAGGCACAGTAATACCTGGTGCTGTCCACAGGCCTCAGGTGCAACAAATCAGCAACAACGTTGTGACGTTGTCTAACGTCCAGAGTCCTGCTGTGTATTCAACACAAACTAACCAGCTGCAACCCAACCGGCCGAACTCCCAGACTCTTCAGACCTTCTGTCTACCTATACAGGCCAATAGCACCAACAGAGGTGATTTTTTTTTTAGATTTAACCATACTATTTTACGACACTTGTAGCTCAATCAGCTGGCAGTGACTTAAATGTAAATGCATTTTTCATACATTTCATGAATTTCACACAGATCAAAGCCCAGTCAAACGATTGCTACCACAGCAAATAGACAGCACTCCAAAAAGAGCAAAGCTTGATTTGGGTAAGTGTCTGTTACCACAGGAATTGTATAGACACTGTTTTTTTCATTACTGTAAACAAACCTTAAACCCAATCTATGTTCCTCTTTTGTGTCAGTATCTTATTTGTAACATCTAACTGGTCTTCTGCAGGGCCGGCAAAAGTAACTGTCCGAGTGGAAAATGGGATTTTAAAGCAAAAGTGCTCCAAGTGTCAAGAAGAATTCCTTACACAAGAAGACCTGAATTTTCATATGACAGTGAGTAAAACTCTTGGGAAGTATAGTCCATGAGTGGAAACAAAAATAACATAATGTAGATATTTAAAAAAATATATATATAAAAATGTGCACTCAGATATAATTTCTTATTCAGTAAAATGTTCTTAATGTGTTTGCATCTTTGTTTAAACAAATCAGACATCAGCATGAAGTTGAAATATTCATGTAAAATGCTTCATTATTGCAGAGTTGCTGTACAAATATTGAAAGTACACCTACATCAGCCCAGAACATGAGTGCAAACAAGCGCATTATGCTGGTCTCAGATTTCTACTACGGTCGGTTTGAGGGAGATGGGAACAAGGAGGTGCAGAAGACCAACACTACTTTCAAGTGCCAGAGCTGTTTGAAAGTTCTCAAGAACAACATCAGGTATGACAATGTTTTCGCTTGCCGTTAGTAAAATAGCAGGGTAATAATCAACTTTTTTTCCATATTTTATGGTCTTTCCTTGCTAAGTATACCATGTCAACTGAAAATATAAAATAAGGGGCACAGTGCAGCTTTGAATTTTGCATTATGACATAAGTCCAAATATAAGTCCAATTATCACTCTTTTAGCTGTTGGTCTCTACCAACTCCTGAGTGAAATATCTGTCCCTGTAGTTGCTAAATGCTCCACTATGTTCACCAGTGACAGTGAACCAAAACAGTAAAGTTGCAGGCAGACAGCTACACACTGAGGTGAAACTAGCAAAAAAAGCTCCATAAAACTTGAGGGGTGATAATTCTCTGTACTGAAGGGTCTACTACCAGCAAACGCTTTCATATTGTCATATTGTTTTCATATCGTCATTTTTCTGAGCATTTGAAACAATTATTAAGCAACAGTGGGGCAGTTCACATGGATTTAAATCTATTATGATGTTTGTGTGTACTTGTGTTGTTTGTAACTGCTACAAACTTAAGCTGCAATGTGAGTTTCCTTTTTAAACCCATCATTGCGAGTAAATGTGAAGAAAGAGTTTCTGGTCCAAACAGTCCACATACAAAAATTCATATTCTCTCAAACGGCAGACTGCTGAAGAGAGATCTGTCCATTGCCGGTAAAGGAGTGGACATATTCTTGGGCTCTCGCTGCAGTTTTCTTCTCAGATGGATGACGGTATCGGACCGTTTTCCCTCTTGGGCCTAAAGATGAAAAATGACTGCTACTTTAGGTGGAGTAAGAACTGCTCCTTTGATTAAATAACTTCTGCTTCAGAACATTGCAAAAAAAGCTTCTGTAAGCTTCTTTTAATGGGGAAACACATTTGTACAGCAACCACACTCGAGGTCATAGTTCATCCACATAAAAATTTCTATTAGGGGAGCTGAGGTGGCAGAATGTACAGGCTGAAAAATGGGCCATGCCTCGTCAGGGCAGCAGTGGCAGGTAACTGGAGGTACTCGTTGCAGCCGCAGAGCGCTACATCATTAGGCAAAACAAAAATCTGTGTGTAATTGCTGATATTATAATGGCCATTATACACGCTTAGAAAGTGAGGTGCAAGGAGAATACTTCATTTATCTTTAAACCCCTCAAGACCTGGTCCATAACCGCTACATGCATGCAGGCCATGAATATTGAATTTTTTCCCCCCACTACTTGACATTGGTTTTGTTTTTTATGTGTCTTGTTTGTCTTTTAAAAACTGAAATATTCCTCAAATAACTGCACATTTCTTGCATATGTAGATTATGCGTCCTCAGTTAAGGTTTTCTTTTTTATTCTGTTAACGTTTTTGTTCTTTTTTTTTTTTTCTATTATTTTGATCAGTTAATTTAACCCTGAGTTGCTTGAGTGTGTGCTGATGAAATATCCTTGCACACACTGTTTTGTTTCATGAATAAAGGGATGTGTGTGGCACGCACAAAGAAATACATTCATATTAACTGTTATACTGTACATCACAAAGAAAAGCAGCAAATCGTCATGTTTCAGAAGCTGTTGCCCGCAAACGTTGCCATTTTTGTATTAAAAATGATTGGGACAAGTAATCAATTAAAAATAGTTGCCAATTAATGTTTTGTATATTTCTATCTATATATATTCTATATATATAGTTATCTTGTAAATTGAATTGTTAACTGCTGTGTGTCTACCCCACCATGCAGGTTCATGAACCATATGAAACACCACCTGGAGCTGGAAAAGCAGAACAGTGAGAGCTGGGAGAGCCACACAACATGCCAGCATTGCTACCGACAGTATATGACTCCATTCCAGCTGCAGTGCCACATCGAGAGTGCTCACAGCCCGATCGAATCTTCAAGTATGACATAATGATCTGTGCAGCTCAATGTATAGATGTGACAGTTTAGTTAGACACTTAGTGGCCATTTATCATTTTCTTCTTTCCTTTTTCAGCCAACTGCAAGATATGTGAGCTGGCGTTTGAGTCAGAGCAGGTACTTCTGGAACACATGAAGGATAACCACAAGCCCGGGGAAATGCCTTATGTCTGCCAGGTCGGTTGCTTGTTACTGAGTTGTGGTTTGTTTTAACGTTTCTAGGATACCATTTACTGATATTGAAATTCTGATTTGTTGTTTCTACAGGTGTGCAATTACAGGTCCTCTTTCTTCTCAGATGTGGAGGCACATTTCCGAAGTGTCCATGAAAACACAAAAGACCTACTCTGTCCCTTCTGCCTCAAAGTTAATAGAAGTAGTCATATGTACATGCAGCACTACATGAAACATCAGGTATGATGCTGCATTTCATCCAGTCTGTTGTAAAGCTAGTAAACCTTTCCAAGTGTCATTTCAAATGTAACACAGATGGAGTGGATTGGAGTCACAGAGCCATGTGCCTTTGTTGTAGTCTCCTGATTGTATAGATTCGTACTTTTGGTTTGTGCTTTTAGCTCCAAATCCAAGGCTGGATTGATTTTGTTGTCTGCCCAGCACCTTACTGTTATACATAAAAAGATGACATAAAACCCACCTCGCTTCACCTGCCCTAAAGGAGCAATAGATATGGTAGAGGTGGAATATTACAAAATTAATTGCTGTTCTATTAATAGAAATGAAAGCCTTTGCTCTCATACTCGTTATACCTTTCCAGTGAATCTAAATGAAGCATCTCAGCAATTGGCCTCTACTCACACTGCTTATTAATCACATTTTTGTGTTTCTACACTGATGTTTTTTCTACTTCAGAAAAAAGGGATCCATCGGTGTGGAAAATGCAGACTGAATTTCCTCACCTACAAGGAGAAAGTGGAGCACAGGACTCACGTCCACAAGACTTTCAGAAAACCTAAAGCCCTGGAGGGCCTCCCTCCGGGTACAAAGGTCTGACATAACAAAATCAATACATCAGTTATTTTAAATGTTCTTAGATTAATACAAATTTAATTCAGCATCATTACATATTGTGTTATCCTTCCAGGTGACCATTCGAGCCTCCCTCACAGGAAAGACACCCGTAGTGCAGATCTCCCCTGAGCGATCAGGCTTTACTCCAGAAACACTAAGTTTCAGTCAGCAAACCAAACCTCCAGTCAGCGTATCCAAGTCTAAATCGAACGTCTCTGGAGCAGGAAAAGCCAAGACAGCTCAGAACAAGAAGCAAGATGCTCGAAATGGCAAGCACAACCTGGCACTCAGGAATCTCAGGTTATTAAATTTTCTTTTTCACACAGCGGTCAGATACACTACAGCAACAACTCTTATTTTAATGGAAACCATAACACACTTTTTTGGTAATACAGACTGATCATTTATGCTACAATTTAAAAAACCAACAAAGGGTCAAATCTATGTTATTGGAAGGCTTTAGGTTAAAAATGAAAAGAATAATCTGGGATGTGGAGGAAGAAGAATGAGCAGAATGGGAGTACTGTCTAAGAAGCATTCAACACAGACTGAGTTGATTTTGATGGCTGAGTCCTTAATGTCAGTTGAACTGATCAAAGATGAAGAAAAAAGTCAGATTTGACTTTGCTTTGGCTCCTTTATATGAATGCATGAAATGTTTGCACTCCAATCTTAAACAATGTAGAGATTATTTTAATGAATGGGTTTGGCTCTTGGGCAGCTTGAAAAAAAACAAACATTTGGGCCCCCAAAAATAAATAATCAGACCCAGACATGTCCATTTTTGGGTCCTCTGAATCATTCAGAATCCCTCATCCCATCCTGGCCCCCACCTCCAGGGTATTTATGACAGCAAATTAATAGATGTTATTAAAGCCCCTCCTAATACACAAAGCAGCTAATTGCTAATTTTCCAGACACACTTCATTAGGCTGGCTAAAAATAATATGGTGTTCAGTAGATAGTCTGGGATTTCTTTCTTTAAAATGGGCTAATTGGACTCACGGTATGTTGTTGTATGTTCATGTAGGATAATATAGTGGTATAATAGAAGAGTCCAAACCAGTAGAATAAAATTAGGAACCTGCAGGCCTCAGGAGAAAATTAAAAAAGGTAATTGGTTATGGGTTTGTGCGTTTGCGATAATGAAGCAACTCGAATTGTTGCAGTTAAAATAATTAACACCCTAACAAAACTCACATTGCTTATCCTTTGCAGTATCTTGAAATCTGGCTTCAATCCTGAAGGGAAAGTCTTTCAAATGTTTAAACAAAACGTCCTTTCAAACCATATGGTTGAACTTTGTGTTTTATGCTGTTTTTCTCATTTCCAATTTGCAGAGCCAGTGGAGGGCGTCACACGTGCATCGAGTGCAAGACAGAAATCGACCACTTCTTTTCTCATTTCCCAATGCTTTCAAATTGTGGTGCGTGCAAATATCGTACAAGTTGCAAAGTTTCAATTGGGAATCATATGATAAGGTGAATAACAATTTTTTAATTGAATCAATATTTGTGGCACTTGATTTTAGGTTCACTGTATTTATTTGACAGATCTTGTGACAACTCTTTCTTTGGCATTTGTTAGATTTCATAGTACCATCAAAAAAAACAGATTCTCGAAAATGGATCATAAGAAAAATTCATCTACATTAAAGTAAGTATGCGTCATAACTTATGTTTTGCACAACACAGAATACAGTGTTTTCTGTATGAAATTGAACATGACAGAAGATTTGTTTGTTTTTCCCCCAGATTAACCCTGGTCTGTCTCAACTGTGACCTCCTGGTGGATGCATCAGGTGGTGACTTGATGACCAAACATTTAACTGATCGACCAAATCACATATGCAAAGTCATTCAGGAGAAAGGTATGTTTTTTTCCTCTTGTACCAGCTGAGTCATGGCTGGTGTTGAGTCATACAAGTTTCTTGAAAAAGCTCTCTTGTGTTTAACCCAGCAGATACCAAAGCCAAAGATCGAGTGTGAGTAGAAACTGCTACATCTTTTCTCTTGTTTGTCTTTAATATATGAGAAAAGACACTTGACAGTGTAAAAGACCAGAGAAACATTCATTAAATCCTTAAAGGAGTTTGCCAGTGATTTAGTATCACTTCCATAAAGTTGAGATACCCACGAAAGACAGTTAAAAAAAAAATGGTAAAACAAAGGTCAAGTGCCAAATGCAAGTGATGTCATTTGCTCAGACAACAACATTATCGAATGTTTTTACAAGCTGCCTGTGACTAGTAGAGTGACCTTCATGTGTAAAATTGGGGGAGTTCCCTTTATGGTACCAAAAAAATACAGTCCCAATGCAGTTGCTCCTCAGGTTTCCTTATCCTAAGTGTTTGCAAATGTCCATTACTACTTTCAAATATTAAACTATTTTAATATTTGCTGACAGTGTTTGGTAATAGTTGATCAGAGCGTGTTGGTAATTGCATGTGAATCTGAGATATCCCTTTGTTATGCTGCCTTCTTCTTTTCATTCAGGCATCTCGTCTTGGGGCAGCCAGCAAGAGTCTTGTACCTCTTGACATCAGCACCCGCTCAAAGACCAAAGGAAATGGGCTTGAAACTAGTTGAAAGTGCCACACCTGGAAGTGTTACTGTTGCCACCGTTGGTCAACCAGAACCGGAGCCAATGTTACCAGCAGGTGATCAGAAAAAGGATTCCACAGAAATAATCATCAATGAAGGTTCCATTAAAGGAGAAGTAAAGCAGTCTTCGCTGCCCGCTTCATCGTCTTCCTGCACATCAGATCAGGTTTTAGATCTCGGTGATGGGTCGGTGGATAACTCTGAGAGCTCAGATATCGCAGAGCAGCTCCCTGTCGAAGGGATTGTCCCTGACCATAGGGAACATGAAACTAAAGCTGAATGAACTTGTACTAAACGATGCACATGACAAACAAGAGAGGTCTGCAAAGTTAAAAATAACTGCGTCAGCCATACCACTGCAGAGTAATTTCTTTTACAAACATCAATTATATAATGATGTTGCTTTGGCTGCTGGTATTTGCTCCTACTACTACTCAAGATTCATGTGTTTGGTAAGTCAGTTTCAACGCTTGGGAAAAAAAATACTTTATCACAGGTTTTTTTTTTTTCTTTAACTCCTCTGCCAAACTTGCATTCCCTAAACCTATGTAAGGTTTTATTGTATTAATGAATAAAAATGCATACCCTACAATTTTATTTTCCCCATAAAGTATCTAATGAGAACATTTGCAAACATCAGAAATTGTTATTCTGCACTTAGACTGATTCCATGCAGTGTCTGTTGTTGATTAGACTTAAATGACTGTGGCTCATTTAATATTTCTTAAATGTTTCAAAAATTGGTTGATGTTATCCCTAAGGAAACCCCATCTGCCAGAAGGAGGACAGTACTTGGCTCTGCTCGTGATCCTCAGTGTCAGACTTTTATCTGCTTAACTGACAAAGACGAACACATATATCTGTGATCTGACCGTAAAATTCTAAAACAAGATTTACCCCCAAAAACACATTCAGTGGCACAAAATATACATTCTCATATTCGCTTGTATGATTTATTAATATAATTTAAGTTCCAAGACTATTTTGTGTGTGAGTTGAGATGATTTTTAGATTTTTATCGTCCTTTAATCTGTGGTTTTCTATCATTGTATAATGTGTTCAGTATTTTTTGTGATCACAAGCAGCTCCCTTTTTATATTGAATCTGTGGTTGGTATACCAACAACGAAAACATACAGTATTGCTGAAATGTATACATTGTTTACAGAAAGATCCTGGTTTGTGGCAGGAATGTCAGTCTATAATTGATGTGGAACAGGTATATTGTTGAGAGCTGAGGTGTGAATGTATCAGTAACTATTATCTCGGCACACAGAAAGTTGCTTCAAAACCATTAATAAATTCAGTAGTACATATAGAGAAAATATTAGTATGACATTTATTCCCTGAGAAAGAGAATGTTAGTTTTGTGGAAAGTGTGGCTGGGACAAAACTCCAGCAATGGAAAGGGGCATTAGGAGGAAAATGACCACAACTATTTGAGGAATGAGCAAAATAATAGCTGTCTTTCTTTTAACTTTATTCAGTGCCAGCCTGTAAAAGAAATGCATACACGTTACCTTGGGCACAGGTGCTCAGCACGACACGTCAACTTGATTAAATCTGTCAATCAGTTTTTATGTCCCAGCTGCTGGTTGATTAAGTTGCCTTTTATTTTGCATTTATTGAAAAAAGGCAAATTCCCGGTGGCTCTGGGAATATTTTATACACTGCGTTTTGTTTACTTTGTGTGGCTTAAAATGTCAAATGTCATTGTTTATGTCATAGATTTTTAAAAAGGGTTTTCCCTTTTATATAAAGTATCGCTAGAGCAAGTCCTTAAATGCATCTATGTCTATGATGGCACTGTAAATGTAACCCCCCGAGTCTGTTTTGAATACATTCCTCTAAAGATATACTGTGTTCCCCTTAGGACACATTTTCCTCAGAGATCTGTAAACTACTGGGTTTGGATCGGTGTTTTTCTGTTATGTAAATAAATCTTTAATACAAGAGGTTGCGTTTTTGGGTGCTATTTTTCTGAACATTGTTTTCTAAAACAGCCAGACCACTAGGTCCTGAATGTCCACAGTGACTTAACAAGTCTTGTTGGACAGTCAATAAAATGACCACAAAGACGAAAAAGCAACCACAAAACAGTGCTACAGAGAGACAAGACAATTGCAAAGACAAAATAACCACAAAGAGATGCAAAATGAGTTACATGAATTTCCCCTAAGTCAGGGGTCTGCAACCTTTACTATTAAAAGAGCCATTTTTGGCCCCTCTCCCACAAATAAAAATTTATCTGAAGACGCAAAACCTATTCGACCCTTAAAATGAAGATAACACAGCCTTAAAGTTTTATATATACATACTATATATAAAAGAACTATAGTCTATCTATCTATTTGTAGTCATTTATGTCTCAGTCTGGATGTCTTGCTGCTGTTCAGGAGACATTTTCCTGGCTGTACTTACATACCTTTATCACAGTGGTGAATGTGATGTGAAGGTACAGATCATAGACTGGATATATACCCATACACAGTATGTATAACTTTATAAACGGTATATACCGTTTAGGTTTATATACTGAATAGCTTTATATACAATACAACAGTCAAAACGTCTAAGAACCTATATGCATATACATCTTCATAGAGTGTATATCTTTATATATGATGGGGATTCATTTTAATTTTCCCGGACCTGACGACATTGTCAAAACTCATTTTTATTGGCTGAGCGTGAGGCGACGCGGCGTTCCCAGGACAACGAGACGCTAAACAATCGAGGAAACCCAGCGACACCTCCGGTAAAGTAATTAACGGTTCAGGACAGCTGTACATCGACAATCGCTTTAAGTTAATTCAAGGAATAAGTGAGTAAAGAGGAATAAGGCTAAAAACGCTGGAATCGACGAAATTCAGGACAAACATGGTAAATCCTCGTTGGCAAACCGAAGTTAGAGTTAGCTTGGATGCTACAAACAGAGCAGTTTACCACGCTGTCAACATGGGCAAACCTGTTAGTGTTAACCTGTTTTCAAGTTTCACAAGTCTTTCCCATCGGTACAGAGTCGTAACTGGGCCTACAGCCAGCAGCAGAGGTTAATGGCTCAACGCCAGAGGCAAGAGCAGCAGAGACAGCATGAGGCCAGCCGTGTGGACAGAGAGAGGCAGCTGCAGGCCAGTCTGCGGGACGAGGAGAGCTTTGAGAGGAGGAGACACCTGCGACAGATGCAGGAGGAGCTCAAGGAGAGGCAAATGGAAAGCTCTCTGCTAAAGGTATGCTATCTGTTTGTGCTGGTTGTACATTATTTCCCCAGACACCAGAAACTAAGCAGCACTGTAGAGCTGAAATGAATACCGTACTTAATTAATCGCTTACTCAAGTGACAGACAATTTATTCACCCTTTTTATTAAGCAAACATGCCAAAAGTTCACGAGTACCAGCTTCTCAAATGTGAATACTTGCTAGTTTTCATAGTTTTCTGTGATCGTCAACTCAACATCTGTTTGTGACATTTCATAGACTGAACAATCAATTAATTATTATAGAAAATAATTGTCAGACATGATGATTTTATACATACAGTGCTCCTGTGATGGACTGAAGCTACTTTGCCCCAGGTTCTCTGTGTGTTTATTACTTGACACACAGAAGAATTGCAGCAATTTGATAAAACAACAAATGATAACAATGGAAACTAAAACAGTTAAGGTCTTAAAACTAGATTCCTACAGTCATTTCACAAGAACATTTAAGCATTAGCTTTGATGTCATTACACTATACAGGACTGAACAATTAAATTTTGTTGTATCTCATTTCATGCTACACACAGAGACTGTATGAAAAAGACATAAATAAATTAGAATGGACTACAGAATAAGTTAAATTAAATATAAACAAATTTGGAATAAAAAACTTCCATAATAGTTGCAATAAAAGGCTATTATTAGTATTATACACTACAACTGAATACTTGTAGTGCACAGATATGAGGTAGTGTGAGTAGTGTGAGGGTTTCTCACTGTATCATCAAGGTATTGTATTGTATGTGTACTGTACCTGAACTCAGATGTTATAGGCATAATTAAATTTGATTTGCAGGCAGAGGAGGAGAGAATAAACAGGGAAAAACAACTTGAACAAGAGGAGAGAATGGCTAAAGAGTTGGCCCGCATAGACTATGAGAAGCAAAGAGAAGAGAAAATAAGGCAACATATCAAAGAGAACAGGTATGTACTTCATTACCTTGACTTACTGTATATTCTGTGTTAGTCTACAAATGAAACACGTACTGCTTTTGTGCAATCTTTCTCTGCTTTGGTCTCTACATTACTTGTATTCATTTTTAAAACTCTATTTAAATCTTTTCAGCATTGAGCTTCGAGAATTGGAGTCAAAACTGAAATCTGCATATCTGAACAAGGAAAGAGCTGCACAGATTGCTGAGCAGGAAGCTATGAGGTTTGAGACAATGGTGAGCACTGTCCTTGTTGATTTCAATCAGTTACAACTTTTTTTCTTTTTTTTTTTTGAACTGCTAGATGTGAATTTAGAAAATACTTCAGGGGACTACAATGGCTAAAATTAACTATAGTCTTTGTTCAGCTGTATACATGGGTCAAAAGTATTGAGAATTACACATCACGATTTAATTTTAATTTGAACAGAAAGTTCCAAATACCAAAACCCTATTTCTTTGGTGAAGCCTACGTACTATGTACTGTGTATGTCTTCTGTCTTTCATTAGCGTGAGGAGGCAGACTTTGCTCGCAAGATGAAGAGCGAACGCGAGCAAGCAGCCGTTGAGCAGCAGAAGCTGGAGCAGAAACGCCACGAGGAGCTTGTGCAGTATCAGAGGGAGCTGGAGCAGCAGCTCATGGAGAAGGAGCGCAAAAGACAAGAGGCATACGAGGAGTTCCTCAAAGAGAAGCTCATGGTGGACGAGATTGTCAGGAAGATTTACGAGGAGAATCAAATGTGAGTCCCTCACTCATAATTCATGCCTGTTCAGTTAAAGACAGAAGATATGTTCAGTCAACTTGTGTAATATGCTTGAAACTGCAAAATTATCATTGCATTCAGTTAAAATTTCAAGTGGCTTACAAATTCAATCAGTGAATTTATTCATGCAACTAATATTGTACATATTTTTAATTCACTGCTTCAGTATGAGTATGCATTTTGATTACAGAGTCACCTCTTTGTAGAGAAAACATGAAAAATTTAGTATAATGGCTTTATTGAAAAATGTTTTTCTGGTGAAGGGAGCAACAGCTGAAACTGGAGAAGGTCAGAGCCACTAAGCAGCACATTGAAGAATTCAAGAGACAGCAGACTGAGTGGAGACGCATGGAGCAAGAAAGGATGGAGGCCGAAAACAGACGTATCATGGAGTTTGCGACCCATCAGCAGCACATGGAGGAGAGCAGAATGGCTAAGATCAGAGAGAGGGAAGAGGCCAAAGACCATCTTCATAAAATAGTTGAGACTTCTTTTTGTTGAGACAACTTTTTCTCTTTTTCTCATCCATTTATCTGTTCATTCAGTGACAAATGCCTGCTTCTGGTTTCAAATATCACTCCTTCCACTTCTCCTGTAGCTGTCTAAGAAGATTGAAGAGGAGAGGCAGCAGCGTGAAGAGATGGAGCGAGTCCGTGAAGAACTTTGTTTAGAAGAACAAGAAGAGGCTAACAGGCAGAGAGATATTGTAAGTATCATTACTACTACTACTATCACTACTTTTTAAACATACCTGTTCAGCAATTCTGATTTAAATACAGACAAAGGCGATATACAAAAAATAACATTTTATATATGTTAGGGGTGCAAGTAAGGATTACTCAAATTTGAAGAGCTCCAACCAGGGCTGTTTGGCATTTTGCTTAGTAAGTGACTGACTAATCAGCTAGTTATCATTGTAGCACTATGATGCTATGTTGTAATCATACCAAGCCTTACTCTAATTATTTTGTATTTTAACGTGTTCACTGACCACCACAAACCCATTGAACAAAGCAGTCTAAGTCTGAACATCCCAAATAGGTAATGCTCTTAATTAACAGGCATTTTGACTGCTCTACTCACTATTGAGCTCAGCAGCTCATGACACAAGAGACATACACATTCCTGTGTGCTCTCGGACTTGAATTTAGAAGTGTGCCTAAATTACCCTAATATTTTTTAAAACTTTCACCTAACAGGAAGCGATGGAGAAGAAAATCAGACAGAGGCTGATGATGCAGCAGACCTGCCAGGAGCAGATGGCTTTCAAAGAGATGCAGAGGCAGGCAGAGAAAGAGGAGGAGGAGGCCTTCAGGAAAATAATGATGGCTAAGTTTGCAGAGGACGATCGGATAGAGCAGATGAATGCTCAAAAACGACGCATGAAGCAACTTGAGCACAAACGCGAGGTGGAGAAACTGATAGAGGACAGGAGACGGCAGCGTGAGGCTGACATGGTATGAACCACGCTTAATTGTGTGCATAATTACATCGGGAATAAGTTGGTTTAACTGTCAGTACTGCTAGTACGACGCTGTGAAAGGCAACATAGGTAGCAATAACCAGGTTTTATCTTGATTATAATGGATGTTTAAGTCTTAAGGACAAAGATGTATTGTATATATTAAATGATCCCAACGTGAACAGAGAAAATTGGCGGAGCTTGAGAGAATACTAACAGATTTTTCCATAGAAAGTTGTATTTGAGCAACATGAGTGAAACACATCATACATAATACATGGTTAATCTGTATCAACTTTTGATTGAACTGTCAGCTTTGAACGACATGCTTTGATAATGACATTTGAATCATTCTCTTCCAGGAACTGGAGGCTAAAGAAAGAGCGATTGAGCAGGAGAGGGAGGCACTGCGTAGACAGATAATTGAAGAAGAGAGGCAGCAACTTCTTAAACGTCATGCAACAAAACTTCTTGGATACTTACCGCGGGTATGTGGCAGTCAATGAAATCATAAATCATTTACACAGCTTCACATCATCTGTAGATCAAACAAGTGTATGACCATCGGCGTATCTACTTTCAGGGCTTGCTCCGTGAAGATGACCTGGAGCACTTTGATGAAGACTTCAGAAAGAACTTTAAAGCACGTCCGTCCGTCTTCTCTGACGATGGCTGGGACGGTGATGATTAAACTTTGTTCTTCCAGCGTGCCACTAGAGGGCGGTTTGAGGTTACAGTGATAACTATTTTTTTTGTTTCTTAGTGTTCATGGTGGTTTTGTTTCAATTAAAATCTATTCTAAAAAGGATCTGGTGACTGAATGTTATAATGATAAGGAAAGGAATCTCTACATCTAAATTCCCTCTGAATTCAAGCTCTAAACTCAAACTAATCAAATTCTTAAAGACTGCAAACTTAAGCTTTTAATCCACTTTAATTTTCACCAGAAAACATTAAATGCTGAATCACTCGGTGTTTATAACTTCCCCCAGTCTAGAGCTTTCATGAACTCATCTTCTGTGAATGACAGCAGCTTGGCAGCTTCAAAATGCATCTGCATACAGAAAAACTCTGTTAAGACTTTGAATCAAAACTGTAAATGGGGTATGTATTTACAGAGTATGAAAGTGACACTTACCTTTTGTTTTTTGAGAATGTCGATCAGCTTGAGCTGTTTCTTGAAACCCACAATGAGTTCTGCTTTCTGTTTTTTTAGCATTTTGTTTTCAGCAAGTAGATTTTCTTTACTCTGATGCTCCTTGCTTACCTTGTCCTTAATTAGGAAAATAAATTAGGAAGTTAGGCAGAACCTTATCTTATTTCTGCAACATGATGTCTCTCTTATCTACTATAAAAGAGCTCAATGAACTTTCCTCCAACATCATCTTCAGATCACAAATTCCACACTGTGCACGGATATTTTCAAGTTCACTGTGCATCTTAAAAATCTGCTGCTATACATGAAAAACCTCTCATCCCCACACTTCAGTTTTGCTTACCTCATTCATCTGCTTCATCTTGTTCAGTTGAGTCTTTAACCTCTCCACCTCCTCCAGAGCTCTGTTCAGACGAACCTCCACCGTGCTGTGGACGGCTGCTGCTTGTTTGTTGGATCTATTCAGATTTTCTATTTCCTACACAGCACAGATTTTTTGCTTGTTAATAAATATCAGAAATAAGAAATATTTGGACCTCTTTTGCCGTCAAAAAAGACAGTTTTTGCATTGACACAAACCTTGTGTAAACCAGACACTTGGAGTTGAAGGCCATCACATTTTTTAGCAGACTCCTCTGCTAAAGCTCTGTGCTTCTCAATCTGTGTTTTCTGAATGCTTGTGGTCTTCTGTAGTCTGGCTCGATCTTCCTCAATCTCCTTAATTTTTGCACTGAGCTTAGCATTTTCATCATCCTGCAACAACAGAAACATGATGTTCAATAGATACAGTGTCTTCAAAATTTTAAAGTTATCTATTAGAAGCAGTGATTCAAAACCAATAATGCAACCAGCAATGTTTTATATTTTGGTGTTTTAAGTGGCTCTAAGAACTCGAAACCCGGAACATGAACAACAAGTAGAACCTCTTCACTAACAGATATATGTAAAGTTTGTTTCCACGCTCTTTTTCTGTTACTAAGTTCTAGTTGAATTGTTGTTAATCTGCAAATTTTACAGTACCTTCTTATAATATTCACATGAAAGTTGATCCACTTCTTCCTGCATAATTCTTAGTTTTGCCTTGAGAACTCGTATTTGAGCATCTGAAACAAAACAGAGCAATAATCACAATCAGACTTACAAACCCATTAAAAATAGCTTTCTATTGTTGCCTGTGTTTCTCCGAAAACATATCCAATTATCACAGAAATTATTTAATGTGAAAGTTTCAATTCAGATTTAACTTTCTAAAGTGGCAAGTTTTCTTGATAGTAAATAATCCATCAGCAACTTTCACATCCCACAGGAAACCATAACATAAAGTCATAATATGAATGTAACTTAAATATTAATTGAATGACAATTAATAATTGTCTTCAATTAATTACATACATTTTTTGTTTGTTACTTTTTTGGTAATGCTTCAACAAAATTACATGTATGTGCAAGTATTTGCACAATTTTTTTTTTATTTATAATTAGGGCTGCACAATTATTAACAAAATATAATAGAAATTGCAATATGGCCAAGTGCAATCGCAGGAGCTGCAATTTTTGTAAAATGTGTCACAACATTATTATGCATTGTTAGCACCATAACTGTAGTGCTACCGAGATGCTACAAATCATATTCTCCAGACATAATGGAACCTGCTTCTTTGGTACAAGACCCAACAAAAATCACATCATCATTTACATTCCAACTTAAATCTGCTAAAATATTCAAAATATTTATTTATTTTTTGCATATCGTGCAGCCCTATTTATACTTAATTGGGGTTTACTTTTTTCAAAGTTACATAATAAATTACCTGATCCTACATTGTCTCCAGCGTTACACACATCATGATCATCCACAACATTTTCATGAGTGACAGTGTCATTCATCTTCTCCTCCATGGTACGTATCGTCTTTGCCATAAAAAAATCAACTGAATCTTCTATAGCTTCTAACTTATCTGAATGAGACGCCTTTGAGGTTCTGTAATCAAGCAACCAACAAGAAAACTTTTAGGTGTTTCATAAAGAATGTTAATGGAGAACATATTTTCAAAAGGTGTGACCTACACATTATTGTCTTATGAATAAAACTTTATAATGAATTTAGAGATGATATAAAATCAAACTCACGCTGTTTTACAGTGAGACTCTTTTCCTTGTTTTCCAGTACGCATGCTTTGTGATGTTGATGTGACCCTTTTATTGATCACCACCTAAGTAAAAGAACAGTAAATGAAAACAGCACACTGTAACACAGGCCTACAGCATTAACAAACTTTACATGTAAAGTGTTCATTGAGCAAATTGCACGTAAAAATACAGAAACCCTAATTTAATATTCTGATCTGATACCTTCACACGGGGCTCCTTCACAGTACTCTGTTGAGGCTTTATCATCCTGTGGGTGAACAGGCAGATATACAGAAATACAGGTTGGTAGATAGATACATAAAGAAAGACAGAAAGAAATAGATTATTTTTGTTGAATAAGGTCTTTCTCTTAAGGTATATTAGTCTGTTTGGATGCTGGAGTGTTTCACTGGAATAAAGGTAGACTTTTGAAGTGGCCGCAAGAAAATTAGCCACAGAAAAGCCTACAATCATTCTCAAGGTCCGAGTCATAGGTTTTTATTACCTTGAATCCTCTTCATCTTCAATATCTGTAAGCAGGAGGGTGGATAAGGGCTTCGACAGAACTTCACTCTGCCCTCTCTAAAATCCGATAAACACCAAGACCCAGTTTCAGTTGTAAAGTAAGTCTGGCCCTCAAGATTCACTTACCTCAACTATTCAGACAGATTTACTCACCAAAAAGAAAAATTGTTATTTTTCAATTAAATGATGCAAACAAGATAGTAACTTACCATAAGTTGTTCTGCCTGTCTTACTAGATCCGCTGTTTTGGCCTCTAGCTCTGCATTTAAGAGTCTGATTGAAATAAAATGAACAGAATTATATTAGTATTATATGGGTTTTCTTTTACATAAACCTAGGTTTTAGTCCACCATATTTGGATAAATGAAATAAATGACTTTTTTATTGACGGAGAAAAGTAGGAGTAGAAGTTTTATCTGAACAACACTATTTAGTGCCATAAGGTGCCATTGACTGAATGAAAATCTATTTTCAAACTTTGGTTTATTGACATTGTTAAACATTTTAAGTTAAGGAGGGGCATTTATTCCATTTTTTTCTTTAAAATTTCTTAACTCACATTTCTCTATACTAAGGTCACCTTTGCAAAACTCTTCTTACACGTCTTTTCACCAGAATGCAGCTCAGCACAACAGTTGATCTCACATTCAAAATGCACTAATGCAACCAAAACAACATCTATATTTCAAGATCAACTTTTGTACTAGAACTAGAACACTAATGTTGAAGAAAATTCACTCAAGTCCTTATTTTCTTCCTCACTAACAACAGCGGTCTTTGTCAATCTGTGCAAAGAACGCTAATAGAAATATTTATCTCAGAATTAACATATTCATTTCATTAAAATGTTATAAACATTCAATGTTAAAATTAATCAAAGGGGGTCATCTGATAATCTTTTACATAAATTATTTCAAATGGAATCAAAACAAAGTGACACTTACTTGTATTGTTCTTCCTTAGCAAAAAGGTCGTCTGTGTGCTTCTTGGTAAGACCGGAAGCAGATTTAGTCTGTGGCCTTACTTCAGCCCTCTTGAATCTCTCAGCTTTAGTGCCGGAGGATGGCCGTTTCTTTGTCTAAACAGCAAAACAATACAGAGTGGTAGATTATTATTACATTAATCCCTAGAGAGAAATTTTACATTTAATTTGATCAACAAGATTGGGTAAAATAGAAATTGATTAGCATGTCACTCTGATTTTCCCAATGGTTTAGGTCTAAGGTATATTATTCACAATATTATAACTTATATACCTCAACCTTTATTTGTTCAGAGTAATTTCATATTACCCTGAATACATTTATATAACAATATATATATTTCTGCCACCCCACTTATGTCTTATTTTTCCCCTTATTTTATTGGTTTGACTTGGTTTGACATGTGCCCAGATTTGTTTTGCTCTGTTGTTTGTTTTGCTACCTGTTTTGCATGAACTTATGTTGATAAAAAAAAAAAAAAAAAATGGTTTGGCTCTTTGTATTAAAGATTTTGCACATCAGACAAAGGCATGGGCCAAATGATAACCATGGTGTAGGCTATTAAATGTCTACTTTTACTCTTTAATGACACTTAGAATAATTTATGATATAAATATTGATGTTTCTACGTGTTTTGTCTTCCTCTGTCTCAACATTAGTGTCGATGGTGTTTTGAAAGAGATGACTAGCAGTTTATAACGCTTTATCAACCACTATGGTAGAGGATCGTTAACGTTAGCTTTGAGCGACTTCACCTGTTGGAAACAAATGGTTAGGTTTAAACTGTTGCTTGTGGCACACAAACAGTTCTATTTAAACCTCTGACATATAAAGATAAAAAATAACGCTGCAAACCTGCGAAACGGCGGACAGTGCCTTTTTATCAAAACTTCTTTCAGCCATTGTAACACAGAGAGAGTGAGGACGCGGCTCTTGTTGCATAGCAACTACTTTGCACACAGTACGGTGGCCCTTGAAAGACATTTTAAGGCGATTTTATTTTGTCAACAAAAGTTGTAGTATAGCAGGCTATACTAAAAGTACTAAAAAGCAGCAATGTCAACACACACACACACACACACACACACACACACACACACACACAGAGTTAGTTTTAGTAGATATTAGTTCTTGATAAAGTGATAACTGAGAGTTCATATTAAGAAGAAAGGATGCTATTGATTTTTTTTGAATTACGCCATGAGCTGTTATAAAAAGTACATGAGTTATAAAAACTGTGTAAATCAATACAAAACAAATGTATGTTATGGACTGAAATCCTGGCTTTGTGGAAGCAATATATGCGCATTAATAGGACAGTGCAATATACAGTATTTATATTAGTAGTGGAATGTCTTTTTACTTTACAAATTAAGATTTGTTTGCTTTTTAGTACATCAATGATAACAACATAATACATAACAGTAAAACATTCACAGTGGCAATTTTCCATTATTGACATAATTAACATATTTAATTAACATTTTTAAAAGCAGGGCTTAAATCTCTAATGGTTTATCTTTTTACATTGTGGTATTACTACTAATACTTCTGAAGGATCTGAATACTTCCGCCACCACTGATTTACACAACATATTCTCAAGTAAAGCACAAGTACCTCAAAATTGTATTTAAGTACACTACTCGAGTAATATATTTAGTTACCTTCCACCACTGATTATCATTACTCTTCTTGGATAACATTTATGTTTGTTTTATTATGTTTGAATTGATATCGGCAGCATTTATATAAAATAGTAATATCCATATATAAATCGATACTCAAAATAACATGCTCAGTAATGTCGTCTGCTTACATGTTTACGTTTTTAATGCAGGGGCTATTAGTGCGCATGCGTGTCCCTTGCAGCTACTACTTACTATGCACATGCGGAGAAATCCCATAACGTGAGGGGCAGAGCACACCAGAGGGACAAGCCAGTTGTTTTCCAGCTGTCCGTTCACTGTTTTCACCTGCATTTATTCGTATCCATGCGTCACGTCAAGTTTCACAGCGGCACGAGTTTTGTTGCACAGGCTCTTTGATTCACCAAGTGTCGGGACTTGAAGCAAGCGATGTCGGAGGAGGAGGGCCGGGTGGCAATAACAACAACACGGCGCGCTGCTGCTGTCCCGTTAGCATCGCAACGTCCTCCGGTCCATGTTGTTTAACCCTGCCGGGCGACTACACCCGTCCACGCCTCCAGTCAAGTCCAGCGCAGTCCCACAACTGAGGTCCCGTCCCCAGGCCCGCCGTGATGGCCGAGGAGGACCCCCAGCAGCAACAGCAGCAGCAGCAGCAACAGCAACAGCAGCAGCAGGCGGACCGCGGGGCGGGGAGCCTGCCCGGCCTGCTCCCCGGGCTGCAGGGCGCCGAGGCCAGTGCTCTGCAGCTCAGGATCAAGAACTCCATCTGGTGAGGAGGTGTTCGCGTACTACTGTGCACGGTCATCATCAGATACCAAACAGACAGCTTTATCGTGTTTATAGTCTTATTATCTTCATCAAGCATTATCATTGTTGTACACATTGCACATAAGTATTATCAGCAAGATGTACTTTCAATTTTTATTTCATTGTTTTGTGGACAAAAATGCGTTAATGCGCAAGTAGCATATTTGCTTATGCTGGAGGCAGATTTACCTGCATACTGTTAAATAGTTTTTTACAACATATATTGTATGCTGATCTTAAGTTTTATATATGTAAGTTAATTTATATAACTAACTGTAGCTGCTAGATAACATCAATTGAGCAAAGAGTACAATATGTCCTCATGAAATGAAGGGGATTAAAGTATAAAGTAGCAGAGAAGTGAAATTATACTCTAATAAAGTACATATAACTGAAAAAGTACTTAAGTGCAGTAGTTGAATAGATGTAATTTGTCACATCCTGTCACATGTGTTAACTAAATGTAATAGAGTATTCTGCTTTTACTTAAGTAAAGGCAAAACATGACAATAGTTCACCCCACTGTCCACCCCACACCCCACCCCCACCTCTTTATTTCTTGCTTGTTTATTGATTGGTTAAAGACATTGTTACAGCAATAGCCTGTTTGTCCATCCATCTGATCAACCATCAACCACAACTGGCATGCTGAAACCAACTGCTACATACAAAAACTACATCCTGTAGCAGTGAGTGAATTGACTTGACATAATTCATATAATATAGTGAACACAGCAAATGTTGACTGCTGCACTTTTGGTAACTCTTGCAAAACAAAATATGTGTCATGGCTGCAAATATTACTTTCATTATTAATTACTCTTGATTTTCTGTTCATTAACTAATAGTTTTAGCACTACTTGATTTGGATTAAAAATAAACCACACAGAATAACATAATTGTCCATAAAGTATGAAATTACCAGTTTCAAATAAGGAGGACTGGAACCATGACTCTTCACTTTAAAAAAAAATCTAAAATGCTGAATCAATACCTTCTGTCAATGTGAAATAGTTTAAGACATAAGGACTGCAAAAAGCCACATTCTGACCAAAAATATTCTCTGCGTTCTGAATGTGTTTGAACTCATGTCATTTAAATATCAAATAGTCATTAAATGTCAAAAGGCCAGACTACCGGAAAGCACAACAGTTCAGAGTTTGAATGTCTGCAGGAAATACCCCAACAGAAATTATTGCAAAGCTTGTACCAGTTTGTCAATAACATATTGGGATATTGAATATCTGTCCCATTCCCTACATCTTTAAACTCTAAGAGGATTAGAGCATAAATATTGATGTTCACCTCAGTGACCTGCTAAGTGGTTCATGGTAGAATGAGAACGTCTTAGTCGGGGTCAGCAAGTTCATTTGCAGCCACACCGTCACCCTTTCTTCATATGAAGTGATGGTCTTTAGACAAGTCCCACTGCAAAGGCAGCTGTTCCTTTTTCTAATCAAAGTCTCTGTTAAAAAATGGCCTCAGTTGTCATTCAGTGTACCTGCCAAATCTGCCTCACAAACAGCTTAATGAGGGCTTTTCAGCACTAGAAGATCCTTGGCCCCCTAGTAACAGTGAATTAAAGTGAACTGTTCCTGTCATGGCTTAGAGTCATCTCCTGATTCTGACCTGCCCAGTGTCACAGAGTAAGAGTCTTTAAATGTGACCTACCTTCTGTCTCACAGTCAAAAACAACCTGACCTGTCTACAGGAATTAGACCTGAAGAAGTTACTCATGTATCTGGTTTGATGCTTTGTAGTGTTGCACTGCTCTGAATCAACAAAGGGTCAGCGAATGTTGTTTTTTCCAAACATGTGCTTTTGCATAGGACCTTGTAGTCTGTTTTATCACTTTTGGTTCTTTCATACTGATCGTCATAAGTGAATTTGCTGCGCACCTTTTGCCTGAACTTTGTATGTGTACTTTATGTACTCACCTCCTTTCATTGTAAAATATACAGAAGGAAAGAGACTATGTTTGATATCAGGAATCACAAAAAACATTTGGGAACATTCTCAAAGGATGAATATATGTGATTTTAATCATCTTGCATTTCTTAAAATATAATATAATAAAGGCTAAAAGCAACAAGTTAAGTGTGAAAATCCACTGTTTCATTATATTATTCCTTTGAGATAAAATCCCAATAAGAAGGAACTGCTGTGTAGTCGATTTCCTTAGTAACTACAAAGGAATTACTGTTTTCTGAATGATAAAAAGCTTTCTGTCTGAGACAATGTTACCACAGTGCCTGTCCCTCTCTTTTTACATATGACAACATGTGTTCCCGATGGTGGGATACATGACCTGAGAGATGCTGAAGGGAGGGTCGTCTCATACCAAACATTCCTCTGCTTTATAAATAAATACACTTTAGACTCAAGAGCTCATGTTACATCAGCTTCATACTAATTTATACTATGTCTCTGTTTTACAGCAAATCTGTTCAATCAAAAGTGGAAAACATTCTGGTGAGTATTTTTGACATGTTCTTAATCTACAGATTACATTTTTAATTAACCCATTTTATTTTTATTTATTTATTTTACCTTGTATGTTAAAATATTGTTTGGTATTTATTAGTGGTTCTCACATGTAGAGCTTAAACACTGGTGTTTTCTGATGTGTTTATGTGTTTTCTGGCATAATCTAAAAGAAAAAGAAATTACAGCAAATCTCTCCACAGTAGCTTTATAGATCAACCTATAGAAAGCGCATCTGAAGCTAAAGTCACTTAACACTTTTTGTCGTAGAATTTGAAATAATGAAGGTTTATTTTTAAAAAAACTATACCCTAGCCTAGAAAAGTGATTTTTATGTGGTATGTCAGCTCTGTGTAAAGTCTGGCATGGACTGGCGAGTTTAGGGACAGAGACTCTTTGAATGGTGATAACAAGGGATTCACCTGTGACAGCACACTCATGAAAAGGTTAAATATTCTTTCAGTAGACTGGCGTTATGTTTGTTTTCACTATCAATGGAGTATGAATCAATATGTTGCACCTCCTAAAAGTCCTGAAAGCTCCTGTCCCTCACTGACTGAGTGATCATATTTCCACAATTGATCAGCTGAATGCCACATGACTGAGTTTCACTTTCCCCATTGGCTGTTGCTCTTTCAAAATAATTTGGCACAAATAGGCTCTATTAGGGGGGTGTTTACAGCCTGCAATGTTGCCTAGTAGTGCATTTGTTTCTAGATTTAGAGACTTTTTTTCAAACAAGACCAGGTATAAACCTAGTATATGGCTGGACTGTGTACGGGTGCCAACCACTGGATTAGGGCTACACCTCTATTTGTAAATACACTTGGCGAAAACTGTTATGGATCCCAGACAGAGGGTCTGCGTTGTGTGGCAGACAAAATAAGAAAGGTATTCTTTCGCTTCTAACTTTCTCTCTCAGTGATCATTTTACAAGTAAATATAGCCGAAATGACAGCACAGTCTTGTCTTTGTCTTTAATCTATTTATATGGTGATTTTGTCAGACGACGTTGTGGTTATAAAATCAGGATTTTGGCATTGCAGAGCAGCAGCTTAGAAATGGCTTGGAAGTGACTGCTGGTTAACATGTAGTCTTAATGGGCCGTGTTTTAGTCACTATTTTAAACTTGTAACGTTGTCTGACAACATGAACAGAAAAACATGTAAATGAGATCAGTTTTCTTGGATATCCAGCTGTGTTAAAATATTAGGGCACAAAGAGTAGGAGAGAGTCAGACCGATGAAGGGCTGAAACCGGTGGACACTTGGCAGAATGCAAATACAGCATGATTATTCAATTTTTTTTTTACAGCAATTCCACAACAGATTTCAATTGTCCTCAATTTCGCACATTAACCATACATGGTCCAGCCATATACAAGGGTTTGACCTAGTGTTGTTAGAAAATAATATGTCCAGCTCCCCAGAGAGTGTGGCTGTTTTAGATGGCCCTGTACACTTTAATCACATCTTATTTATTCATTCATTCAATCTTTATTGAGGACACAGCTCATGGGGGTCCATAGGAGTCAGGAGTCTACTTCACAGTGTAAAAGCCTGCACAAATTAGCGTAAACTGTCTACCAACAGTAACTTACTTAGTTCAAAATCCATATTGCACTTGCGCCTGTACGCCTAACATTTAGGTTCAAGGTAAAATTAGTTGAAGGGGTAATGGAGTTCACTGTGCAGAGCTGATGACACTTTAACATACATTGACAGTTCAAGTCAGCAGAGCAGGAAGTGAGTCACACTGAAAAGGCCAAGTCTGTCCTCTGAATGATCCACAACAAGGATTTAGCCTAGTTTAAAAATGACAATACTTATTTATGAGAATGATTATTTTATTATTTTATCCGTGTTCCGCATGGCTGATGCTGTTTATTTTTGGAGGCCAGTTGAAAGGGGTGAATATGTCTGAGTGAAGGCATGTGTTGGCAGTGCGTGGATGTGTGTCTGTACGCTCATCGTGGAGCGAGTTCACCTTACAGGCTCTGCACTAGCCTGTCTGTCTCTGCGTGTCAGTCTGCAGCATTTTAGACTGTCTCATACACTGTCTCTGTACAGCTGTATGATGGCAGTATATTTATGCTTCTGTGCACTGCAAGGCTTAAAGTCAGAATAAAACTTTGGCCATGCTCCTCACTCCTATCCCCGGTGCTTCACTGTGGGATGGTATGGTTACGGACTTATACCGAACGTTGTGTTTAGTCTGATGCCCAAAAAGTTAAATTCTGGTTTTATCAGACCATCATCTTCTTCCAGCTGACATCAGAGTTTCTATGGCAAACACTAGCTGGGATTACATGCAAGTGGCTCTCTCTAAAGCTGCAACTAGTGTAGCTCCTGCCCAGCAGTTGTATACACCATCTCTCAAATCTTATCCTCCGAAGCTTTCAACTCCTTCAGAGGTTTCTCAGTTTTTGAGGACAGGCTACTTTAGGCAGATTTCAGTTGTGCCACACTTATTCCTTTTCTTGGTGACAGATCTAAAAGAGTACTCTACGTAGCAGTGCAATTCTACAACATTATCAGACTCACGATAGACTGTTGATTGCAATTGATGCAGCAGAACTAGAGATATTGTGATTTTTGTTTGACATATTCCTCTTCCTTGTCAAAATCTGGTGCCTACTTTACCCACAATGCAACTCAACCGCTCACAATTCAGTTGGGGATTCAGGGTAGCTAGTAGCAGCTAATGTAGTCTCGAGCCTCTGGCCTGCAGCAGAGATGAGTGGGATCAGAAGTCTGGTAACCTCACTTCTTTCTAACTCCACACCCACAGATTTCTTTCATTCTCAGACTTTTAGTCTTCAGCTTGAGCAGACGCCAACTGCTTCCTCTGCAGCCAAAAAAGGCTCTATATGACTTTTTTCAAACAGTACTCATCAAACCTGAAGACAGACTGATTTCTGATGAACATGAAAACTTCCAGGGAGAGTGAATACTTCTGAGAGGCACTGTATACTGTATGTTCCCGAATTCACTCCTACAGGGTTAGAGTATCGCTTGGTGTTCAACACTTTTGTCTGCGGTAGAATTTAAACTGCTCGTGCGTCACACTATCATGTTTCTTTTCCCCTTTGAAGAGTGGTGTTAGAAGGGCTGAAGTCAGTTTGTAGCTCAGGGCCACGTTGAGGACTAGGAGGACTAGTCAGTACACTCTACTAGCCTTGTCTGTGTGTGTTTAGTGTTGAATGAATGAATCGCCATTCAAAATCCATAACATGCAGGCATGATCTACTGTTGTTGTTCTTGATGACAGCAATATGGCCATAATGTGCATTAAATGTTGGAGCTGTTTTTTGAGTTTGTTTTATTGATAACTTTTGCATATTTTTGTCACATTTGTACTAAGGATAGGCTAATCATAATTTACTACCTTACTGTTTAAGGCAGCGAAACCGTAAAAGTCGATTAGTTGATCAGTTTTTATGGTTTTCTTTTTACTTCATGCTGATGGATTGGAAGGCCAAATATTAAAACTCCATTTTAATTTTTTTACAGCAAGATGTCGAGAAGTTCTCAGACATCGAAAAGCTCTACCTCTACCTTAAGTTGCCTTCTGGTCCCAACAGTAGCGCTGATAAAAGGTAAGGATACACCTGTTTTCTGATCAATCTTTGACAGTGTCACACATTACTATTTGCAGTTGTCTTAAAAACAGTTCATTATGTGAGTTATGTAGAATGGCAAAATCATTTATCAGTGATGCATGTCTTTTCTCAGTGACCAGAGCGCCCTGTCGTCGAGCCGCACACAGCAGATGCATGCGTTCAGCTGGATCCGCAATCATTTAGAGGAATACCCAGAGACCTCTCTTCCCAAACAGGAGGTTTATGATGAATACAAGTAGGTCTTTTCTTTTGTTAAACACATGTACAATTTTCTGTCACTTCCATAACTAACCAATTTCATGCTGAAACTTAACTGTTCCACTGATATCAAATATTTATTTATTTGATTCTTTATCAGTGATGTTTTACTTAACAGCTACTACTGTACAAGTTTCTTTCTCCTATAAATTACTGCTGGCTAAAGCGTCAGTATAAATAGACGCTGCAGGCATGAGAATCACAGCAGCATGTGCTGGTAATATTAGAATGGAAAGTCTGAGACAGTCATTGAAATGCTCTGACAGTGTTATGTAACTGCCTTTTTAACTCTACCAGAACAGAAATACAGCGCCCTCCAGAAATATTGGCGCCTTTATGATAGACAGGTGAAAAGGCTTTAAAGAGACATTATGTGCTTCACTTCAAAACAATAAAAACATTGTATTTTGTGCAATGAATCACATTTGTCACCGTTGTTTTCAAATTTTATTACAATGCCCTCTGAAGTATTTCTAATTAAGTTAGTTTGTTCCATTCAACAGATGATATCCACCTATTATGCATAGACACACACACACACACACACACACACACACACACACACACACACACACAAAGACATCATTCAGACAGCGTCTCTGAACCAGGGTAAATAAAGCTCAACTGTACCTGATAAGTAAATGGCAAGAAATTGATCTTCTAGATGAATAGATGAAGACCAGTGTCAATTAAGGGCACTTTATGTTAGATGGAATGCGGATGATATAGAATCAACCACAGTACAATAATGTCAGATATGGTTGTCACTTATGGTTTAGTTTGTATGGATCTCATTTTAGAAATGTGTCAAACTGTAAGTCACTATTACTACTCTACTGTTGCACTTCCACACAGTATATGTTTAACTGTATAATAATAACATTACATATTACACCTTTAAAAGTGCATTAAGTGAGTTTTTTGCCACTTGGACGCAGCTCATTAAAAATCATTTGCCTATTTACTCAGCCAGCAGTTACAGAGCAACGTTATTATTCATTTGGAGTCGTGTTTCTTGCCACCTTATGAATGTACGCCCAATATTCACTCTCTTTTAGCTCTGTAGCTTCTTCACTTTCGTCACCAGCTAGTTGCTATTTTTGCCATTAGGTGCTGAACGGGAAGTGTACAGTGGGTTACTCAAAACAGCTGAAAACAACCCTAATGCGAGCAGTGAGAGTGAACCAAACGGTAAAGTTGTGTGCTATAACACCAAAACAACGAGCTGAAAGATGCTAAAATGCTATGCTGTGTAGAGTGAGGTATTTTTCTGACAGTTCGTCAAGTCATTTAATCCACTGTTAATATAACAATATTTATTACAGCAGCTTTAATTGTTCCGACCAACAAGTCTGAATGAATTTTAGAACAGGGAAAAATTGTTTTAACTTTAAAGACTATTATCACCTCACATTCACCAGTGGTGCAAACATTAAAGGTTCAAGAACTAATGATTGAAGGCATAGACTGTGGTTTGGTTGAAAACTGACATGTATTTTTTGTCCATTCTTAATTACATTTATTCTGTCTGTTATGTGTTTCAGGAGCTTCTGTGACAATCTTAATTACCACCCACTGAGTGCTGCAGACTTTGGAAAAATGATGAAAAATGTCTTCCCGAACATGAAGGCGCGTCGACTTGGCATGAGAGGAAAATCAAAATATCCTTTACTGGACTGGATTGTAACAGTCTGGCCTCTGTCTCTGGTCACAGACCATCTGCTGTTGCAGTTCATAAGCTCTCTAAATATAGATGTGAAATGAAATAAAGTCCCCCTCTGCCTCGGACGCAGAAGCATAATACGGAGACCTACAGGGAGTCACTGAGCTTGACCTTCATGACTCATTCATTATTTATTTATTTATTTTGTTTTGCTGATAACATCAAAGTGTTAAACTTGTTTTATTTTTATGACCTTCAGTCATTCAGGATAATGAAATTATCATTGTACATGGTGAGATTGCGACCCAGTAATATTATTGGTTATGATGTGGATATTTTTGTTTGCAAACTGCTGGTAGTGTCCAAGGAATCAAGGATTTATTCTCATGTGCACAGTATTTCCAGTATAAGCATTGTTTAAAAGAATCTATAAAAGAACCAGTTCAGTATCAACATATAACACACGAGCAAAATGTCAAAGTTGAGTGTTTGAATTAGCCCAAACACTGGATTATCACAGCATCATGAGAAATTATTTATTTAGTTGCCTTTCTATTCTCACTGAATCTCATGGAATAAAAGAGATTTTGAGAATTTGTATCATACTGTATGTTAAAAGGTTTATGCGTCACTTTTACCAGTAAAAAATTGGAGACTCACTGTAGTTACAAGTAAATGCAAATTTTAAAAGCGTAGTAAACATTACTACCTAGATTTAATAAGGAATTCTGATTCACAGTTGCAACAGCTCATGGCATTACATTGCAAAAAAAAATTGTGTTTGTTTTTACAGCCATTAACTCACATTAATGGTTTGGGGCTGTTGGTGCTGGTATTGTCAGTTTCAGTTCACACTTTTCACTACAAGGCCTGTCCTGACGTCATGTTTTTATTTGTTCCTATACATAGTGACTATTTTTGAAGAACTGGTGACAAAGCCTTAATCTATAAAAAAGCGTTAGTATGTCATGATCGTTGATCATTGGTTGTATAGCATCAGAATTTCGACCAACAGTCAAATCAGACACAGTTTTCCATTATTGATTTTTTCCATGGAAAATTGAACTGATAAATGTTACATGGACCAGGCATTCACCATGTTATACTATATATCGATATATCCATTGTTAATTTTGTGGAAACATGTTTTTTATCTTAACACCGGCTTACATATTGCTATAGCGGACTAAGGAAGAGACCCTTTGTTCACATGCCATCATTACCCACTCTGGATCTCCATAAAACAGGGGAAGGAGTAAGGACATTTATATCCTCCTTATTACTAGTTCACAATAATCTCTCAATGTCTTTGTATTCTTACTCAATTTTTGTCAATGTCCTGTCATCCATTGTGTCATATATATATATATATATATATATGTACATACATACGTAACAATATATATAACAACATATGTAATGTGTATAGCTCCAGTGTGATGTCCTGGAGTCTCCGGGTCAGCTGAGCAGCATAAAGGAGGAGGTGCGATTTGCGGCCTGTGATCTGGTGTGTGAGTGGGCCCAAAAGGTGCTGAAACGGCAGTTTGATGCTGTGGAAGATTTGGCTCGTTTCCTAATCGACAGCCATTACATCAGCAACAAGTCTCTGGCAGCGCTCACCATTGTGACCGGCACAGCAGCAGGTAACACATGGTTTACATTGCCTCATGCTGCATGTGTAATAAAAGAAGTTAGTAAGGACATCTGGTGGCATTTGCCTGTTACTGCACTTAGTGCCTCTGTCTGGTGTCCATCGAAGTTGAGGTTAAACCTGATTAAATATGTGATTAAAGCTTATATATACATATTATCAGTGGTGGAAGTATTCACACCTCTACGTACCTCTACGTCTACATCTAAATCTAATTCCTCCTGTTTTGTTTCTCCAGATGTTAAGTCTCCACAGTCGTTGTCAGCATTCATGCCCACTGCTGAGGCTCACTCCTTCCAGCCTCACGTGACAACCTTGTCGTCACCTTCTGTCGATGCAAAGCAGCAGCTCCAGAGAAAGATCCAGAGAAAGCAACAACAACAGGAACAGAAGCTGCACTCTCCTTTACCTGGAGAGGGACAAACCAAGAGGGCAGATGACAGTGGGCCTTGTTGTAGCCCCACTTCTCCATCACCTCAGCCAGCCATAGGCATTGTGGTCGCTGCTGTCCCGAGCCCCATCACGGTGAGAAAACAGGGGTGTATTCCAGAAAGGGGGTTTAGTGAAAACTCTGAGTTACTTAACCCGGAGGTGAATAACTTTGTCCCCATCAGGTTACAGCTGAATAAATATATGCTGTTTTTGAAAAATAAATGTGCATTGTCACACATTAATCTTTCTGGCTCCACTGTATTAAAATGGAGGCTCTGCTTTTTATTTACCCGTTGCCATGGTAAATTCAGGGTTCAGGGTTAGGCTCAGAGTTTGCTTTGTAATCGAACAATGCAGTTAATGATGTAAAGATGAGTAGAGTCTGACTGGTGCACTGTTTTTAAAATGAAACCAGCCAATACATAAAATATAATCAAACTAATGCAAATTATGCTTAAATTTGCTAAAACTACTGCTAAAACAAACTACTGTGAAAAACAGTAGAAAGTAACAGCTCACAGAGTCAATGTATCATCCATTTATTGTCAACAAAACATAAGCAAAGGTAAATAAGACATGCAAACCCATTTGTTTACCACAATTTACATCACTAAGGCAGTTTTCATTTATTTACATATTTAGAAAACACACATTTATGTAGTGTATATAAAATCATAGCTTTTACTAATAAGTGAACCTGCTTAGATAACAAAACACCATACAAGCATAAAGAAAATGAAATATGGTTATTATATCCACAATAGTCACTTGTTGATGCAGTTAAAATTTCAGATTTTTATGTGTGTAAATTGGATCCTTACATATTTCTAGTGCCTCTCACATGATGAAGGATGATGTTGCTGGAGGGTCCAGACTGTCCTGAAAATAACACATGGCCTGCCTTGTTGTTGGCTCTGTAGTGACAGTTTTATAAGCCTGACTTTAGATGCAAAAACAGCTTTAGTTTCAGGTTTGGTCTCACCGATATATTAATGGCAACACACAGCAAACAATAATCTCCTTGTGGGTGTTAAGACTTACATTAAAATAAGACAGAGAATTCAGTTGTTCTACTTTCTGATTGACCTTCGCTCTCTTCAGGTACAGAGAAGCAGGCAGCTGATGTCCCCCAGTCCAGTGGGAACAATGGAGAGCAAAGTGCTGCCTTTTAACTTTCAAATGGTGACACAGCCAGTTCAGCCGGTGAAACAGAGCCCCAAAACCCTGCAAAATATTCTGGCCAGTCCCGTGGGAGAACGCACTGCTCGGCAGCGCTATGCTCAAATCCTACCCAAACCCTCTGCCACCACTGCTATCACTTTGCGCTCGCCCTCCACCATGATCATTGCCAACAGCCCCATTAAGACTGTGATGACTACATGTCACGTCAGCCCAGTCAGTTTGGTCAAGATGACAGCCATATCTCTGGCACCCACCAGCAGCAATACCACCACATCCCTTACAAACACAACTCTGCGACCAGCATCTGCAGGTATCAGCAGTTCTGAAATTGCAGAAGACATCACCTCCAATCAAACCACAAGGAGTGCCTCCGCAGTCCCCATTCTGACCCCGGTAGCCAGGCCAGGGCAGACTACTGGCATTCATGGCATCGATGTTGAAATGGAAGTTGAAGCTATACATAAAAGCAGCCAAATGCAAAAACCTAGCAGTCTCAGATTGACTCAAGGAGCAATGGCAAATAGAACCGGAGGGGCTGTGCAGAGGGCTGCCAGTGTGCCCATACCTCAAACTAAAGGCTTCCTGGCTCTGGAGGAGACGATCTCTAAATGCAATGGAAAGTCCTCCTCAAGCACTAACACTGCCGCAGCAGTTGAAAGCAGCAATATGAGCGCTAATAATGCAAGCACTTTGCACTTAACTCCCTCCACTCAGAATACCAGCGCTGTTTCTTTACTGAGCACCAGCAGAGCACCTTCATTTGGGGAAACATCAACAAAGGAAGGTTTCTTGTCCACTAAGAGCCTCAGGAAACGCTCAGGCCTCAGCCCAGAGCTTTCGCCAGTCAAAAGGGTTTTTATGCCCCAGCAGCCAGTAGGGGGCACTGCTGGTCTTGGATATGGCATCAGAAACACAGTCAGTTATGTCCCCAGGTCAGGAGCTCCAACTAGACCTGAGAGTGCACCAGCAACCAGGGAGGTGGAGGTGAAAATGAACTCTGTCTTGTCCACTCAAGCCAATGCATTCTGCACTTCCTCTTTCAGAACCAGTGGCTTTTACTCTGTTGCCAAAACACAGAGCTCAATGCAAAGGAAAAACACTTCCACTGTTATGGAAACTAGCACCTCAGTCAGTCACGCATTAATACAGCAACAGCAGGGGCACACAATGACTAACATGCCAATCGTACCTTACAGCCCCAGCCTCCAGACACATTCAGGTGATGGTAGGAGTTCGAACTCAACCACCGGGAGCCTGGAAAGAGCTCAACAACAGACCTACACTCAGTCCAACCCTGCTGCTGAACCCATAGAGTTTTTGAGTCAAGCTTCATCATCCAGTCATCTCCCCATGCAGATGGATATGGACTACTTTACCTTTGATGATGATGTGACTCAGGACAGCATTGTGGAGGAGCTGGTGCAAATGGAGGAGCAGATGAAACTTAACAACCTGCAGGAGTTTGGAGACTGTGTCACACTGCAAGGCCAACAGGCTGTGGTGCCAGACAACATAATGTCCACCAATCAGACCATGACTACTTTCTATCATGCTGCAAACAACAGCAGCAACCCGATCCAAACTCCAACCCCGACACCCACACCCACACCAACATCAGAGATGATGGGAGGAGCCCAATGCCTCACCGGAGAGAGCCCCTGCTCCCGGATCACCTCCACCACCCCGGTGGACAGCGCACTGGGAAGCAGTCGTCACACCCCAGTTGGTACTCCACACTCCAGCTGCAGCAGCACTGTGCCTCCCAGTCCAGTGGAGTGCAGGAACCCATTCGCATTCACACCCATCAACTCCAGCATCACTGGCTTCCATGATGGCAGTACCGTCTCCAGCAGCCCTGTCAAGCCCATGCAGAGGCCGATGGCCACCCACCCAGACAAGACCAGGCTTGAGTGGATGAATAACAGTTACAGCAGCAGCAGCAGCGGGAGCTTAAACAAGTCAAACAGTGGAATGGGAATCCTCCCCAGCTATCAAGGCTTGATAGATGACCATTTTCAAAAACCTCACGCCTTCGCCGTCCCTCATCCACGGCACCATGACAGCAATTTTGGCCGCTTGACTCCCATCTCGCCTGTGCAGCAGCAGGTAGCTTGCATGTCTAACATGACCAAGCAGGAGGGCTTTGCTGTGCCTGCCCCTCTGGATAGCAAAACCACCAATGTACCTGCTACAAATTTTCGATGCCGCAGTGTAAGTCCAGCGGTGCATCAGAGGAATTTTAGCGGAAGCGCAGGAAACAGTGCCCTTCCCAATGTACTGCGTTCAGTAGTGTCTCCCTTTAACTCTCCTGTGACGCCTGAGGTGTTGAACATCTTTGCGAACAGCCAGACAAATCTCGGGGTGAGCAGCATGGCTCAGCGGAGCCGTTCTGTGCCGCTCAACATAATGATGCAGACTGAGGTCCCGCCAACACCGGGCCAACAATGCAACAGCAAGAACATCAGCAGTGTCCTCCTCAGCAAGCTGGACGGGGACCACGATGATGCTTTGCGAGGTCTGGGCATCAATAATTTATCCTCCAGCTACACTGCACGTATGAACCTCACCCAGATCCTTGAGTCTGACCCCAGCCTCCCCTGCACTGACACCCACCTCAGCCTGATGACCTCTGAGCCCACCAGCACATGCAAGATGCAGAGGCCGGATTACCTCATGGAAAATGCCATTAATGAACAAATGATTCTCTCTGCAAATGACAGCCAAGTACAATCAGCCTCTGGAGAGCATCAGCAGGCCCAGTCTATGTTGTTAACTTTGAACCCACAGCAGCAGCAAGAACAATTACAGCAGCATCAGCAGCTGGATTTCAGCAGTACTGTCAAAGACCTGCTGACAGATAACAGCCTTGCTGCTGGCAGCCAGCTCATCGAACAGGTGTCGGAGCTGACCACAGGCGGGGCGGACTTCCCGTGTGAAATCAGAATGACATCAGAGCTCTCCAGTAGCATCAATGACCTTAATGCATTGGACACAAACCTTCTGTTTGACCCCAACCAGCAGCAAGGCCAATATCAAAACGCTACCCCGGAGGAGTTGGTGAATGATCCACTGTTTCAGCAAATTACCAGCGAGACGGCACATTCAGGTGGACTCGACTGGTTAGAAAGCAAAGATCATCCCACTGTTGGTTTGATGGGTTGAGAATGGAGCTTTTCAAAATTGTGTTGATCTTGATAGTCTGTGGTTGCTGTTTGTTTTATTTATTTTCAGGCATTTACACTTTATAATGCAACACTGGACACATTGAGGTTTGTCCAGTTTAAGTGCCAGACTGAACTGCAAAGATGCTGCAACACTCTGATTAAAATGCTGGTCATTTCCCATTAATCAGAGACCATCCCCTCACATTGTTTAATTAAGTGCATTTCCAACAGGTAAACACAGGTTACTGTACAAAAGAAGAAACCGAATCCTTAACCTGTCTTATTATATTGTGTTCGAGATTTCACTGAAGTGTCAGTGATTTAAAAAAAAAAAAAAAAACATAACAGAGCCACAAATTTCTAAAGAAATGTGGAAGTTAATGCGTCTTTTACAACATTTCTTAATATGATTGTATCTAAATCCAAGGCATTATCTAATTAAAGCATAAGGTACAAATTACAAAATATATTTGAGACATTTGGGTGCAATTATAGAGTCACTGAAAAAAATGGAATATCACATGCACCAAGTATGAAGTAGCTTGCCATCTGTGCAAGTACAGTCATCTTTGTAGGAGCCTTAGGTGTCGGTCTGGTTTCAGTGCCTGGAGCTGGAGAAGATATTAACAACAAGACATGTTTAAAAGTATATATAGAAATCTCATTTAGTGACACAAACACTGAATGTGAATCCATTTAATATAATCTCATGATGAGTTATCACTGATGATTGATGATATGTTGAAGAGTTTGCTTGGAGCATATATTAGGACGTGGATGTATTAATAATGAGTGTTGTATCCATTTATCTAATCATAAACGTAATAGTGGAATATATGAAGAGTATCTGTTAGAACTTTGGAAGTGTATCAGAGCCATAAAAGGAAGTGATATGATATGATATAACTGTCAGGCCCAAAGTGATCATAATTCTGGTTATTAGCATATCCACATTCTTCAGGCTTTGAAAGACTTGTACATGATGTCAATAATAATGACTGGCCTCTGCTTTATTGCTATAAAACGTAGTCTTGTTTAATCATAATTATAAAGCTCTAATGAATCCCTTTAATTTACATGCAAAATTAGCTTTTGTTAATTGTTTAATCCAAAGATATATTAAGAAATAACAGCCATACACTATATGAAAAAAATCAGAAACAGATTCATGTCAAAGAAAAACAAGAGTTATCTTAGTGGTTCTGAGTTGTTTAGTGTGGACACATTAAACCTAGAAGGATGACCTCTGTCCAGCAATGAGGCACTAAAAATAGCTTTAATTATGCATCTGTTTACATGCCATTTATACGGAAGTTGTGTCACACAGAGCATTATGAAGGGTTGTGTGATACCTTTTCATGTTGTAGTGCCACATACAACATGAATCAAACAAGCAGCAAAAGATGTAGGCTCAACCACAAGAAAAAACGTTTACCTAAGAATAAAACTAGACTCCTGCAATGGGGGGTTCCTGCACTTTTAAAGTATGAATCAATAAAAATTGATTGGAAGTTACAGGGGAAGGTTTTCATCTCAAAATAAAGTAGATGAAAGTGAAAGGAACGTAATAAACACTTAAACTCATCAAACTGCACTGACAATCTGTAATACTTGTTTTTCTTTACAACAATGCACTGTGTTTGGTTTGGATGATTTTTTAGGAGGAATTTTATTTTTTCGCTGAATGTCCCGAGAAATGAATCAAAATGTATAACAGCTACTGATCAAATGTGAAAGTCTTTTACATGTTTTACACTGATGATGAGCAGTGTGTAAAGAAGGGATGCGACCACTGGTTCAAAGGTGCTTCGGGGGGTTTTTGGTTTCTGAGCCTTATGTTCATACCAAAGACTCACCTTTAAATATAACCTGCAATAACATGCACTAAGCTCTTGAGTGTCTAATATAAATCTCCTATGTGACATATTGACAACAGTTATAACAAGCATATTTTGTCATATGAAGGCTAAAATGGAAAAAGTTGCACTGGAAAAACATTTGTTTCTAAAAAAAAAAAGAGTGCATCAGTACAACATTAAGGATTTCCCCATGTTTTTCTAAACCAAACAGGTACATCAAGTTTTTGTTGAGGCAAAAAAACACTGTAATGTATTCATGAACAGTTTCTCTGTGTGTAGCTTTAGGTCCCTGAGTGTACATTGTTGGTCACACTAACTTTATTTGTTGTACAGATCGTTGGTGTGGCCAGTTGTCCAGCGTGTTTTTGTTTCACGGTTATTTATTTAGTGTTGTTTGTACAGAAGGTATAACCTTGCAAACCATATAACCTTGTGTGTTCACAATAATCTGATTTGCACTGCTTTGTAACATATATTTCAAGTGTCATAGCATATTACCATCTATCATATACAGTACTTCTTTTTTCAGCGGATGATTTGTCGAATATATGATGGTGAATAATAAGAAAATTTACCAAAACTCTCAAGATTCAGCTTGCTATGTAAAACCTTTCAGAACTGGATTTTGGCAGAAAATTATCCTAGAAAAGATTTGCACAACTTTTAAAGAATTAAATGAGACTATGCATGATTATATGGTGTAATATTAAGGTCATGATATATTGCAAACACAGTGTACTGAATCTTTGAGTGTGTTGATAAATTGACAGTTGTTTTATACCGATTACAGAACTTTTAACTTCTGTAAAAGCAGATTGTATCATTGTAATATATAATCTCATTTTGAGTCTAATTTAATATTGAGTATTCTGACCTTTCAAACCTTTCTTAACTGTGTGTCTGTGAAAACATTTGCATTTATTTTGTTAGCACTGATGTTTGTGTTTATGAAGACGTTACCCTTCCTCTTGTTATAAGTGGTGTAGAGCTGTAGAACTACCCTCCACTGTAGTCCTGTTGCTGTGGTCAGTCTACAGGGGAGTTGTTTTGTTGTTTTTTTTTTTTTTGCATTTTAGCAAGTGATTTTATAAGAGGAAGTGCTTATTGATACTGATTTTTAAAGACTTTTTTAACACTAATAAACATTTTTAAGTACATCTGTATCCTGAAATTGGTTTTTCTTTAATATCTGCATGAAAGTAGAAGAATTCAAGAGACCAGGAAGCGGGACACCTGTCGAGGCAGAACTACACCTTTTTCATTCTTATTAGTTCAGGAAATTGGGTGACCTCACATAACGCACTTTTTCAAAGCAGACATTGTGACATGTCACAGTAGGAAGAACTTTACATCCATACTTTTCCTCGTTTGGCAATCTGTCAATCTCTTTATGTGTTAAACTAGATAGTAACAGATCTCTCTCTGCACCTAATATGGCGAAATGAAAACGTAATTTCAAAATAGTGAATTTGCTTTGACACATAAATATAAGGTTAACAATCAGCATAAGAGATTCTTTAACCCCTACAAAGGAGTATTCCTATTGCTGCAGATAGTATTTCAACTGTTATCTGTAATTTGAGTTTTGAGTTTTGCTCATTAACAGTTGCAAGTCTGTGTGGTGAACTGTAATAACATGTAAACCTGTGCTTGTGGTATGGCATTTAAAAAAACGTGAACTTTTTGTTTTCCGTGCACCACTGCAAAACACCAGCACTGCGCTCTGTCTGTGCAAAACTGACTGTTTGATTGATGACAGCCCAAAGTGCCTCTGCCCTTTTCTGACCAACTACTGTTTATGTTTCTTCAGACCTCCAGTGTTAGAGCCAGAAGTATGGCTGCACAAGATTAGTTACTGTAACAGCTTGCCAGACGTGGTGAGACCATTAATAAGACTAGATTTCACTCTGCGGTAAACCTGGGTGTTTTTCAGTGGTGGAAAAAAAACATAGATCCTGCACAGCACTATTTGGTTGGTGTCTTACTCTAAACAAGCTGCAGACTGTGGTGAAATGTAACTTGTATGTATATTTACTCATTTAAATATTCTACTAAAGTATCATTTTGGTACTTTAATTGAGTATTTTTGTTTTGTGCTACTTTATACTTTGAGATATATTGTACCTTTTACGCCACTGTATTTATCTGAAAGCTATAAAACTAAAATTTAAAATTAGTTCCACCACAAACAGCTAATAAATTCAGCTTGCTTCAATAATAATAATTAAATATTTTAACATATAACAATGTAACTGACAGAGGACATTCTATCCGAATCATTTTCGCTGATAATACTTTTGTACTTTAAAATTAATTTTGAATGCACAACTTTCCCTTGTATTTTTTACATTGTGGTATTACTACTTTTATTTAAGTAAATCATCTGGATACTTCTTCCACATGACACAGATGAGTATTGACTAGTGTATTCAGTAAAAGTGTAATGGTGCTTTCCCAGTAGTTTTCTACAGTGGTGGAAAGTAACAAAGTACATTTACTCAAGTGCTGTACTTATGTAAGATTTTGAGGCACTTGTACTTGAGTAGTCCCATTTTTTCTGCTTTATACTTCTACTCCACTGTGATTCAGATGTGAATACTGTAATTTTTTTACTCCACTACATTTACATTACTGCTGTGGTGACTCGTTGCTTGGAAGATGGGAGATTTCATTTCAAACAAATTTTTAAAAATTAAGCCAGTTATTCCACAAATAACAATATCAAACAAATAACACAAATATTAGAGAAATTAAAAAAATTAATAGAACTATGCAGCAAAACTTTTTCTTCTCCTTTCTAACCCAATGACTCATCCTTAGATGTTTCATTGGGGACTAAAGGACTAAACAGTATTGTTTTTACTGATTATACCTTTGTACCTATACTTAAGCAGGATTTTGAATGCAGGGCAATTATTGTAGTGGAGTACTTTTACATTACTTTTCCAGTACTTTCCCACCATTGGTTTTCCTCTGAGTTCCCCTAAAGCTGTAATGTCAGGGCGAAAGTAACAAGGAGAAAGGAGGGAGGAGGAAACAAGAGAAGGAGGAGGAGGAGGAGGAGGAAGAGGAGGAGGAGGAAGCGGAGGAGGAGGAGGAGGATGGATACAGTGAGTGACGACGGTGTCACAGTTAACAACAGGGTCAGGTTCACGGTTTCTACCAGTATATCGTTACCCACACAGACGGAATCATAGAGGCGTAGTAACCGCAGAAGAGACTACCGTTGGCCGGATTACTGTCTCAGTCTTTTTGTTGTCGCTCTCTGGGAGGAAGAAGGACGAGGATATTATGGCTACACTTTCCCCACAGATCCGAGGACTTCCCGCAAATGAGGTAAAACCAACGCTCAAGTCACATTTTTTCAGCCGTTAATGAGGCTGTTCATGTGATCCCGTCGTTAGCCAGCTGGCTAACTAGTGGACGCTAACCGTAGCTAACTAAACACTGGCAAACTGTAGTGGCTCGGAAAATATATGTGGTTGCATTAATACATGGTTAACTTGAGACATTGGGAGCTTTGTCTTAGCTAAAGTGTGCTACTTTTTGATAGAAAGTCGATGAGATTGAGCAGCTGTAATTTCTTCCCAGCTCGTGCTATCCGTGACTTCCAGCTGTGCACTTTTTCAACCAGGAAACCCAACAGGCTCCTGAGCTGTTACCACTTCTCTGCAGGGTATTTCCCGTCCTCAGCACAATTCAAACTCTCAGATATGGGACCAAACAACAATGTAACGAAGGCCTATAATGTCTTATCTGCCAAGCCAGACTGACTATTGCGAAACCTCATGGTGATTCACCATCTAAACAGTAAAAGCATAAATGAGGCTGTGGTTTGACAGGAAATGTGCATAAGTGCCAAGTACTGTCAGGATGTTACATCAGAGTCCCAGAGTAACACTGATTGTGCTGGGGGGCATGCACAGCAAGCATGTGATCGTGGTTGGTTGTAAAGATTTCTGACATTCTTGAGCTGTGTTTATGTACAGCATATCCTCAGAAGCACCTTGCTGTATCAACACAAGTTTAGCAACTAGAGCAATTATTATTAACTGATCAGTTTGTCAACAATTGACCGCTATTTATGAAAACTGAACAGACGTTTTGTCATTTTTTAAGTGAAAATGTCAAATATTTGAGAACGTTTCGCTATACGTTTGTATCTTCTCACACATGAGGATTTGATTCTTTCCCTTGTCATACATGATAATAAACTGAATATCTTTGCGGTTTGGACTGTTGGTCATACAAAACAAGATATCTAAAGATTTCACTTTGGTCTTTGGGACATTACAACAAGCATTCCTCACTATTTTATGGCATTTTCTTAAAATAGAAAAACAGATAATGGTAAAACTTGCTAATTTTTTTAGTCTATGAAATGTGAACAAGAGCTGAAAAATGACATTTCAAACTTCCCACCACCCAAGTTCATATCTCTTAATTGCTTGATTTATATCTCAAATTTAAAGTCCAAAATTTAAAGATATTTCATAAACTATCTAATATTATCAGACACTATCACTGTATATCATCAGAGTAAAAGTATGATCCTATTTTTTAGCCTTAGTTCAGTTTCTATATAGATTTTAGATTTCATATGTTGTTTGGTTTGTGATCTTTACGTTCATAAACTCATCAGTATTTTTTTGCTTTTTCTCAGGATGACTCCAGAGTTGTAAAAGTGAAAGTCATCGCTGGAATTGGACTGGCCAAAAAAGATATTCTTGGAGCCAGGTAGGTTGGTGAAACTTAATACGTGTATTGTGTAACTTATAAGTAGGGCTTCAAATAACTATTAGTTTTCTATATTTATAAAGCTACTGATTATTTTCTCCTTTCTCAAGGTGATGTCTTAAAACTATATTTGATATATAATGATATATCAAAGATAAAAGCAACTGATATTCACATTTAACAAGCTGGAACCAGAGATCTTTTTCTTGTTGATTCTCTTAGGCATGCAGGTCATGCATGTGGCATCTTCTCATCTTCATCTTCTGTAAAATCAAAGTCATGACGTTCTCTTATGTAGTGGCCATTTCCTGTCAGTTTTCTTCCTTATTTTTAGTAAGGCTGGACAATGAAAACTTGCTGAAATTGCATCCTCTAAACTATTGCATAGTGTGATGGGAAGGTGCTGTTTCTTCACTGGCAAAAAAAATGGTCATATTTTCAATGAACAGACAGCACATGAGCAGGAATTGTAATTTAGTAAGTGCAACAGTAAGTGCTGAACAGGTTATTTTACAGCATACAGTCATCTTGTTGGGAAATTTTAGTATAAAAAATAGCAAAGAACAGTTCTTCAAATTCTCTTAATGCCCTGGTTATGACCTTTTAAGACCTTATTTTTGTGCTCCTTTTAGTTTATTTTTTAAAATTCTTGGTTAAAACCTCTCAATAAGCTAAAATCACAATGTCATATAATTAAGATTCATAAAATGTTGATTTTGTTGGTTGTCGTCTCTATACTATAAATTTAATCCTTCATGTTACATCTCTCTCTTATGTCTCTGATGTAATAAGTGTCACTTGATACATTACAAATGACAAACCATTACTGCAGGCCTTAAGTGGCACTGATTCTGGGTAATGGATAATGTGATTTAATTGATTTCTGTGGTTTTTATACATGTAACAGTGCCTCAAACCATTATAAAATAACAATTGCAGACAAGTTTGTGTTGAGCATAGGGATCTGAAACCATTATGTTAATGTTTTGCAGGCCTAAGTGCAGGGCCTGATCTGACAGACAATGATGTGAAGTTTTTTTCTTCTCTAAGAAAAAAGTAGAGACTCGTAGCATAGGAAGAACCACACAAACCACTAATACACAGAGAGCACAGAAAGTAGATCATAACAGTTTTAATCTTTCTAGATGGATGTGTACACATTACACCATAACTCTAAATGTGGCTATCTAATTGCTTGCAGTGATCCATATACAAGGCTGTCCCTCTATGACCCCATCAATGGAGAACTCACAAGTCTTCAGACTAAAACAATAAAAAAGGTGATCACATGAACATCTGCATTTGCAGTTACACTTTTATTTTTATTTGTGGCCTTGGGGATATTTTATTTTGATGTAATTTTTATTTCAAATGAAATAAAAATCAAA